CCAACCATCTCATCCTCTGTCATCCCCTTCTCCTCCTGCCTTCAATCTTTCCCAGCATTAGGGTCTTTTCTAGTGAGTCAGTTCTTCACATCAGGTGGCCAAAGTACTGGAGTTTCAGCTTCAGCATCAGTCCATCCAATGAATATTCAGGACTGATTTCCTTTAGGATGGACTGATTGGATCTCCTTGCAGTTCAAGGGACACTCAAGAGTCTTTTCCAGCACCACAATTCAAAAGCATCAATTCTTCTGCTCTCAGCTTTCTTTATAGTCCAACTCTCACATCCATCCATGACTACTGGAAAAAGCATAGCTTTGACTAGATGGACCTTTGTTAGCAAAGTAATGTCTCTGCTTTTTAATATGCTGTCTAGGTTGGTCATAACTTTTCTTCCAAGGAGCAAGTGTCTTTTAATTTCATGGCTGCAGTCACCATCTGCAGTGATTTTGGAGCCCCCCACAATAAAGTCTGTCGTTGTTTCTACTGTTTCCCCTCTGTTTGCCATGAAGTGATGGGACCAGATGCCATGATCTTAGTTTTCTGAATGTTGAGTTTTAAGCCAACTTTTTCACTCTCCTCTTTCACTTTCATCAAGAGGCTCTTTAGTTCTTTGCTTTCTGCCATAAGGGTAGTGTCATCTCCATACCTGAGGTTATTGATATTTCTCCTGGCTTGTGCTTCATCCAGCTTGGCATATCATATCATATCATATCACCATATCATATCATATCACCATAGCAGGGTTCATTGTATCTGTCTCCCTTGCTTATTTATAACATCTTTCTCTGACAGTGAAAAACCTGACTCTTATCACTGTTGTTTGTGAAATATATTTTCACCAGGTATAGAATTCTAGGTCAAGTGTTAGAATTTTTCAAAACTTCTACAGATGTGGCTCCACTGTCTTCTTTCTTGCACTGTTGCCCATGAGAAATCTGCTGTCATTCTTTTCCTTGCTTCTCTGTACATATTCTCTCTTTTTCTCTCTGGCTGCTTATAAAATATTCTCATTGTCCCTAGTTTTGAGCAATTTGATACTGATGCTCTTTGGTGTAATATTCTTCCTATTTCTTGGATTAAGACTATTAAATTCTTAGATCTGTAAGTTTGTTTTTTTCATCAAATTGGAGAATTTTTACCTGTTATTTCTTCAAATAATTTGTCTCTTTTCTTCTTTCCTCTGAGTAATCTAATTACATTTCTGTTAAACCACTTGAATTGTCTGATGCTTTTTCAATTTTTTTAGTTTCTTTTTTCTCTCTTTGTTTCTTTTTACACAGTTTCTATTCTTGTGCCTTGAAATTCACTAATCTGCTTTTTCTGCCATGTCTCACCATCCCTTAATTCTGTTGCCTGTATTTTTCATTCTCAGGTGTTGTAGTTTTAATCTCTAAAAGCTTAATTTTGATCTTTTTTATTTTTTCTTAATACTTTTCATGTATGCACCCAACTTTTTGAACATATGAAATACAGTTTTGGTAACTGAAGTCCTTCCTTGTCTACTAGTTCAGCATCAGTGTCATTCATGCATTGTGATTTCCTCCTTCTTTGTATGTCTTGTAATCTTTGTTTGGATGCCAGACATTATTAATTTTACCTTGTTGAGTGATAGGTATTTTGGGATTCATTTAAATATTCTTGGTCTTTGTTCTGGACTGAAGTTAAGTTACTTGGAAATATTACTGTCTTTTTGAGTTTTACTTCTATGCTTCATTAAGCCAGTCTAGACCTGTGCCCTATCTCAGGCTCATTATTCCCCACTACTGAAGGAAGATCCTTCTGAACTTTCTACCCAGTGCCTCATGAATGTTCTCAGTCTAGCTGGTGAGAACAAACTCTGTTCCTGGTCTCAGGTATTTTTCCTCCCAGACATGCACTGGCTAGTACTCTTCTGAATACTCCAGGAATACCTTTTCCAGATCTCTGGAAGTCTCTCTCTGGGCAGCTTTCTCCTCTTCATCCACTATTCTCGTCTGAAAACTCTCGCTGCCTTGATCTCCACAAGTTCTTAGATCCTTCTCTTCAACACAGGAAGTTGGTTGAGGTCGGCCTGGGTCCCTTCTCCCAGTGCCCCATCCTGTAAACTCTTTCAAGATAGGGCAGTTATAAGGCTCATCATCTTGTTTACTTTCCATCTCTCAGGGATCATTGACTTCTGTTGCCTGACGTCAGGGACTTGAAAAATTATCAATTCATATATTTTGTCTGATTTTTTTTTAAACTGTTGGTTTCTTTCTTTTAAGTTTTGGGGAAGATGGTAAATCCAATCCCTGTTATTCCATCTTTGCCAGAAGCAGCATTTCCAAGCCATTTAGATCTCTGTTTCCTCTATGTGGAATGCCCTATTCCAGATATCTGTGTGGTCAACTCGCTTACCTCCTGTTTCTGTTCAGCAGTTTTTTTTATTGGATGCTGGACATTGTAGGTGTTCTGTTTTTATCTCTGAATTGTTTTCTTGCTTTAAAGGAGTGATGAGTTTTATTTTAGAAGTCATTTACATTATTTGTGGATCAACTTAATCCTTTTGAGGCTTGTTTTTAAGCTTTGATCGGATAGGTTTATATTAGTTTGTACTCCAGGACCACTTTAACCCTGTTATTTAAGACATGACTCCCTTGAATAAAACAGCTGTTCAACAAGGTCTCCTTAATTCTGGCTGCTTAAAAATTGTAATGTATCCCAGACCTGGGTGAGCACTAGGAATTGTTCAATTTACAGCTTCCACTAGTTGTTCTTTTCCCAACCTCATCTCGTGTAGTCAAACCCTGTTTGTGTACAGTTTAGTTTTCAGGCAGATTCAACATGACTCTAGGTAAATTTCTGGAGTTCTTTCTTGTTTAACTCCCTTCTTCTCATACTCTGCCCTGAAAATTGCATTCTCTTCACCCTTCCCAAGCACTAATCTCTGTCTCTTCAGCTCAGTGAGATTACTGTTTCCGCTCCCTGTGTCGCAGCCCAGAAAGGTCCTCTGGTCTGAAAGCTAAAAAGTTTATAGAAAAATCTCAGGCATCACAGTTCTTCTCTACCTTTTTTTGAGAACAGCTGTTTCATATAGTTCTTTTAGTTTATCAGAAGAGGGCAAGTCTAGTTCCAATTACTCCATTATGGCCAGAAGCAGATATCTTCAGAATGATATTTTTAATACACAAGTTAGGTCCTGTCACTCCTGCTCTAAACTGTTCACTGACTTATTTGAGTCAGTGGAGAAGCCAAAATTCTTACCGTGGCCTTCAAGTCTCTGCATGATCTGACTCCCTTGTTACCTTTCTTTCGTCTTACCATACTATTCCTCCCCCAGCTTGCTTCAGTCTAACCATATAGAGCTTCTTGCTATTTCTGGAACCACCAGGCATGCTTCGACCTTGGGTCTTTTGTGCTTTCTGTTTCCTTTGCTTGGTCAGCACTTTACCTCCATGGTCATGATTAAACACAAGGCTAACTTGTTCACTTCTCCCAAGCCCTTCAACTTCTCAATAATCATCCTATTTAAAGTTGCTACCAGCTCCTTACCATCACTCCTTTCCTCCCTACTCTGCTCTGATTTTTGTCCCTTAGCTATTACTATACTTCTTTCTTCTCAAAAAGTTTCTTAAATTTGAAGATTATAACCAGTAAAACTAAATTTTCCTACCTTCATCAGTTATTATTTCCCATTATTAATTAAATATTGTTTTCCAGTCACACAGTCATGTCCAACTCTTTGCGGCCCCATGGACTGCAGCACACCAGGTTTCCATGTCCTTCAGTATCTCCCAGAGTTTGCTCAAAATCATGTCCATTGCATCAGCAATGCCATCCAGCCATTTCATTTTCTGCCACCCCCTTCTCCTCCTGCCCTCAGTTTTTAAATATTACACACACATTTAAATTTTATGTGCCTGATGTTTCTGATAGACTGTACTATAGTCAGAATGTTCACATTCTAATAATTATAATCAAAGTTTGCCTTGAGCCAGTAAACATTTTTCTTTTACAGTAGTTATGACCATAACGTGTTAATTTTTCTCTTCTTATGGCCAAAGACTTGTAATACAGTACAGACATCTCAGATTTATTTTAATAGAGATAGTCAAATTAAGGCAAAAGAGAGAATGTTTTGGCTTTCAGAATTCCAAGTAAGGCTTAAGTAAGTAAACCATGAAGAGCAGGGATAGAGGCTGTAATATGCTGCAGTTGCTTGTGTTGGCTGTCAAGAGCTGATGGTGAATATCTCTTCCCAGGTTCATGTTCAGTGATGTCATGTTGGTAGCTTGATATTGACCATGGTGAGATTGTTTTCTCTAGAAGTCAACAAACACTGCAAATCAGAGTTCCGCACCACCCCATACCACTCAGCTCTACACAACCACTTGTTAACTCTCTATTATCACATCTCTGAATTTGAGCAGACATTGAGAATAATTGGTATCAGGGGCTCAAATGCCTTTCAGACTCTTGTTAGAAATCTGAATTCTGCTCTCTAGAGGTTGACTTCTCTCGGGGAAGATGGGTCTGCTCTATCTGGTAAGATAGTTGTCCTGTGATCTCCCAACTTTTACATATTATCACAGACTCTGATACCACAGAGAAACTCACTTTCTCTGTTTCAGCTTGAAAAATACCAGTGAGTCTCTGATTAGATGTTCACTTCTGAGCAGTCAGTTCAGGAAGTGGAGGTGGGAGTTTGGAAGGGGGTGAGGGGCTCGTGGGAATGGTGGGGAATGAGATTGTGTAATAACTTGCATATCCCAAAGCAGCCATGCAACTAGGAGTATAAATTTCCGGGAGAAGAAGAGAAGGGCAGTACAGAGCAGACAGTTCTATGGTGTATACTGTATGTTAAAGTGCAAAATTAAGCTAAATGAGAATGCAAAGTAGTTCCAAAAACAGCATTAAATATTTGGAATTCTTTTAAACATAGTTTAGAAATCATTATTTTCATAATACTTTAAGTAAAACATCTTTTTAATGTGGTAATTTAAGGCCTGCAATGAGTTTATTGAAATGTGCTTTATGTTTAGGGTTTGAACTGCAGTTCCGATTGGGCCCAACTTTACAGGGAAAAGCAGTTACTGTGTATACAAATTACCCACTTTCTGGAGAAGCATTTAATCGAGAAAAATTCCATTCCCTGGAATGGGAAAATCCAACAGAAAGAGAAGATGATTCTGATAAATACTGTAAACTTAATCTTCAACAAGCTGGATCATTTCAGTATTACTTCCTTCAAGGGTAAGTCAGGTGTTCTGTATATGAAAGAAAGTTAATTTATTCTCTAACTTGATGTTATCTAACTTGTAACAAGTTATCATATGAACTATGGCAGTGCAGTTTTTACAGGAGTTTCTTAGGATGCAATAGAATATAATTCTTTAGTTTCTAGGTAGGAATTGTAAGCCTCATTGCATACTCAAAGTATTATTATTTAGTATTTTCATTCAACCTGGTTATAGCATTCTATTCACTTATGTGCCCTATTATTATTGACAGATTTTAGTACAGATATTTTTCCTTAAAGCAATATTATTAGATATATATATATATATATGCATTGTTTATGTTATATAGAGACTGGAAAAAGATAAAATGTGGCTTTTCCATTGAGTTTCACTGCAACTTTTTTTTTTTCACTTTATTTTTTAATTAATTAATTTATTTTAATTGGAGGCTAATTACTTTACAGTATTGTTCTGGTTTTTGCCATACATTGACATGAATCAGCCATGGGTGTACATGTGTTCTCCATCCTGAACCCCCCTCCCACCTCCCTCCCCATCCCATCCCTCTGGGTCATCCCAGTGCACCAGCCCTGAGCACCCTGTCTCATGCATCGACCCTGGACTGGCGATCTATTTCACATATAATATACATGTTTCAATGCTATTGTCTCAAATCATCCCACCCTCGCCTTCTCCCACAGAGTCCAAAAATCTGTTCTTTACATCTGTGTCTCTTTTGCTGTTTCACATATAGGGTCATCATTACCATCTTTCTAAATTCCATATATATGCGTTAATATACTGTATTGGTGTTTTACTTTCTGACTTACTTCACTCTGTATAATAGGCTCCAGTTTCATCCACCCCATTAGAACTGATTCAAATGCATTCTTTTTAATAGCTGAGTAATATTCTGTTGTGTATATGTACCACAGTTTTCTTTTTTTTTCTTTTATTTTTATTAGTTGGAGGCTAATTATTTTACAATATTGCAGTGGTTTTCACCATACATTGACATGAATCAGCCTTGCATTTACATGTGTTCCCCATCCTGAACCCCCCTCCCACCTCCCTCCCCATCCCATCCCCCTGGGTCATCCCAGTGCACCAACCCCAAGCACTTGTCTCATGCATCTAACCTGGACTGGTGATCTGTTTCACCCTTGATAATACACAAGTTTCGATGCTGTTCTCTCAGATCATCCCACCCTCTCCTTCTCCCACAGAGTCCAAAAGTCTGTTCTATACATCTGTGTCTCCTTTTCTGTCTTGCATATAGGGTTATCGTTACCATCTTTCTAAATTCCATATATATGCGTTAGTATATTGCATTGGTGTTTATCTTTCTGGCTTACTTCACTGTATAATGGGCTCCAGTTTCATCCATCTCATTAGAACTGATTCAAATGTATTCTTTGTAATGGCTGAGTAATATTCCATTGTGTATATGTACCACAGCTTTCTTATCCATTCGTCTGCTGATGGGCATCTAGGTTGCTTCCATGTCCTGGCTATTATAAGCACTGCTGTGATGAACATTGGTGTACACGTGTCTCTTTCAGATCTGGGTTTCCTCGGTGTGTATGCCCAGGAGTGGGATTGCTGGGTCATATGGGAGTTCTATTTCCAGTTTTTTAAGGAATCTTCACACTGTTCTCCATAGCGGCTGTACTAGTTTGCATTCCCACCAACAGTGTAAGAGGGTTCCCTTTTCTCCACACCCTCTCCAGCATTTACTGCTTGTAGACTTTTGGATAGCAGCCATCCTGACTGGCGTGTAATGGTACCTCATTGTGGTTTTGATTTGCATTTCTCTGATAATGAGTACCACAGTTTTTTTATCCATTCGTCTGCCAGTGGACATCTAGGTTGCTTCCATGTCCTGGCTATTGTAAACAGTGTTGTGAACATTGGGGTGCACATGTCTCTTTCAGATCTGGTTTCCTCGGTGTGTGTGCCCAGAAGTGGGATTGCTGGGTCATATGGCAGTTCTATTTCCAGTTTTTTAAGGAATCTCCACACTGTTCTCCATAGTGGCTGTACTAGTTTCACTGCAACTTTTTAGAAAGTTTTTATGGGCTTCAAAATATGTTTTAAAATGGGGTAATTTACTTTCCAGTTAGATGGTTAGATGAGACTTTTTTTCCTGTCACTAACTGAAAAGTTTTTGTTTTGTTTTTTCCTCAGAAATGAGAAAAGTGGTGGAGGTTACATAGTTGTGGACCCTATTTTACGTGTTGGTGCTGATAATCATGTGTTACCCTTGGACTGTGTTACTCTCCAGACATTTTTAGCCAAGTGTATGGGACCTTTTGATGAATGGGAAAGCAGACTTATGGTTGCAAAAGAATCAGGTAATGCCAGCTTTTTTTCTTCCTTTCTTTAAAATAAATGTAATTATCATCTGTGATACACATTGCAAAGGCCTTAATCCTCCTTTTAATTTCACTTCTTAATCTATTTAGTAATATAAATAGGTAGAACTTTATGAACTTGTTGATATTTGACTATTTTAACCTACAAAAATGGCAAATTATATGGTTCAACTTAATAATTAAGGAACTCTGTGATAAAATGAGGTTATTATTGTCTCTCTTTTTTTATTGTCTCTTAAGATTTTACTTTGACATATAATATTAGTAAGCTACTAAAATGTTGGAAAATGTATTATCATTATGTATAATTTTAATTCAACAAGCATTTAATGTGAAAGTCATAAGCTGCCGTACATTTTACTCTTAAGTAAAGCGTAGTGTTAATTTTCTACTTTCAACTTGAATGTAGAGTGAAGAAAGAAATGAGAGGTTCCCTGACATAACTAAAAGAATACAAGTACTATGGAACATTAAAACTAGGAGAAAGATGTACTGATGTACTTGCACAGGATATATTTTCTACATATAAATATATCCATTCCAGAAATATAAGTTGAACCCCTAATTGTAACTGGGCACTCTCTGTGATTTTTTTTTAAATACATCATCTCCTTATCCCTATCTTATATGTGAGGAAACTGATAATCCTGAAAGGTTTCAGTAGACTTGCTTAAATCACTTCTGGTACGGCTAGGATTTGAACTCAGGTCTTTAACCCCTTCTCCTGTGGCATGGTTGTCTTGCCATTTAGAATTACTTATGGAAATCTAAGGGCTTCCCAGGTGGCTCAGTGGGTAAAGAATCTGCCTGCAAGGCAGGAGAGACAGGAGACGTGGGTTCGATCCCTGGGTCGGGAAGATCCCTCGAGGAGGACGTGGCAGCCCACTCCAGTGTCCCGCCTGGAGCACCCCAGGGACGGGGAGCCTGAGGGGCTAGTCCACGGGCCGCACAGAGGCGGACACGGCTGAGTGACTGAGGGCCCCGGCATGCATGGAGGTTTAACCGTGCAATGTATATGCTTCGTTTTAGGCTTATCTTTCCTCTTAATGGTCTTTGTTTATTTTCTTGTGTTGCAGGCTACAACATGATTCATTTTACCCCACTGCAGATTCTTGGACTATCCAGGTCATGCTATTCCCTTGCTGATCAGTTAGAATTAAATCCTGACTTTTCAAGACCTAATAAAAAGTACACCTGGACTGATGTTGGACAGCTGGTGCAAAAATTGAAAAGGGAATGGAATATTCTTTGTATAACTGATGTTGTCTACAATCATACTGGTATGAACTTCATTAACTGCTTCTATTAATTTTAACGAGAATATTATATGCTAATTATTTCATTCCTTGCTGTTTTATTTAACAAATTTTGAAAACACAAGTAATGATTAGGTGTCCTTCAGTTTAAAAAATGACTTGAGATAGTATCACTTTTTTTTTCAAAGAAAGCAGTGTTAATTGAAGATATAATTAATACATAAGTATTTTACATGTAATGATTATAAAAACAGAAGTATGATCATAGGAAAAAAGCCACATATTTCAACTTACAATATTAATACTTTCCAGAACAACAAATGAATCCTGTATAGCGATAGCTCTGGTACCCTAGCATATATTTGGAAAAAATTGAATGATGTTATTTGAAGAGAAAGCTAATGGTAAATTCTTAGAACTTTATTATATCTTTTACATGTTAACAGATATTACTACAGTTAACCTGTTTTGGGTCCCAGATTTCTTTCCAATATCCAGTTCCATAAAATACATTCCAAGTTTCTAGATGCTGTTCCTCAGAAACATCAGCTGTCACTGCAGCTGGGCCTGGAGGAGCCTCTAGTCCCTACCAGAGTGCACCTTGCAAATGCTCTCTTCTATTTGCTGTGGTACACAGAAGTCAGAAAACCACTGATGTACATATGTAAACAACAAGGATTCCAGGTGGCACAAAACATTTAACAACAACAAAAAATCTCTGCTGTGTCATAAAATCATTTCCCAAGTAACCATAGCAACTATGAAGATATTTAAAAGCTCCAAGATTCAGTTCATCAATATAAATAATAATCTAACTATAATAATAAAAATTCAAAGTTGGACGAAGTATGTATATTCTAAAGTGTGTGGTTTCTGCCTGCACCTGAAAACTAAGCATCAGGGTTCACAGTGAAGACTTCCTAATATCCAAGAATTCGATATTCTTCACTTGAAAATTTGACATTATTGATAACCACTTTGACATCTTTTACTATTATTCACATCAAATTTATCAAACAACACAATGGAATTATACAAATTATGATATGACTTAGGCATCTGTAACAGAGAGACAGAAAAATATAGTGACATAAGACTGAAATTATACTTATTTCTGTAAAAAATTAAGCAGGCATTCTAAGATTGGGGTGGTAGCCCACCCATTACAGGGAACTGAGTTCTTTCTCTCATGACGCTCTGCTGTCCAGCACTTTTGCTCCCAACTCTTCATCAAATATAGCCACTCCAGTTCCTGGTATCACCTTCTACCCAGTGGAAATGAGGAAAGGGAAGTAATGTCTTTTAAGGGCCTGATCTGGTGTATGCATCACTCCCGCTTACATTGCATCAGATGGGATTTTGTCTCTTGTCACACCTGGCTATAAAGCAGCTTGCAGCGTAGTCTTTTGCTGGTCAGCCATGTCTGTCACTGAACCTTGAGAATTCTGTTACTAAAGGGACAGAGTGAGTATAAAATTTGCGGTACAGTCACAGACTCTGTCAGAGACTATTTCTAAAGCATTTGAGAGATTCTGTGTAATATAAAAGAAGTGAGCATTACTTCCACCTTACTTGAAAAGTGTTGCATATCATAATATCTTTCCCACAAAACAGGTTTTCATTAAAAAGTTACTTTCCAGGGGAAGTCGACTTCCAGAATGGCAGTATGAGTGTTTCACAGACCCTCAACCCTGCAAAACAGCTATAACTGGTGCAAATTATTTTTTAAAAAAACAGTCTCTGAAAATTGTCCTAAGGATATTCAGCATATAGAGAGACACGTATTCAAGAAAATCTATTAAATCTCAAAAAGAGGAGTCAGTCTATGACATTTGAACCACAACCCACTCCTCCCTCTGTCCCTGCCTCAGATCAGAGTGACGATATGTCTGTTCCTAGCAGGTGCTGTAAGGACACCAGGCCCCCCTTCTCGCTGTGGTTGAAAAATGCAGGTGTCCAGCATTTCTTGTTTTCCACTTTCAGCACTATATTACAGAAACTACTCTAGGCAAGAGTGGATGAGCGATCTGGGACTCCCTTCCCCCACCCAGCCCCCATTTATAGAGAGAAAGTTCTACCCCATGCACAGCAGGTCAAGAATACTGAACCCTTGCACAACTTGCTTGTGGGGTTGGGGTTCCACGCCTGGAGAGCTAAGCCAAGAAAACCGGAGGCCACTGTCTCTGCTACCCGCAGGGGAACAGTGACACGGATGTTCTGCCCAGGAAGAGATGTGCAGTAGAAGCAGAGCCAGAATGGAATAACTTTATCTGGCACATAGCAGGGGAAGCTCATGCCCGTGAGCACTGTTGAAAGCAGTGGTAAACAATCAGGAGGATGCTGGTATCTTCATGAGAGTGATACCCTATGCTGTAGGCCAGCTAGTAGTCCAACAGAGAGAACCAGGGAAAGACACAGTAAAGCAGAGCCTTCCTACAGTCAGAACGGACTTCAGAGACAAGCTTCAAAGACTACCTCTGCCAAAGGACCCAGATTTAACTGGGTCATATTGTGGTACAATTTATGCTCTGGAATCTTATAAAAAATCATAGCACAGTCAGCCTCAGTAACAGCTCAGGAGAGTAATAGCTGGGTGTTATAGCTGATACCAATAGAAACAGACAGCTTAATTCAGTTCAGTTCAGTTCAGTCACTCAGTCGTGTCTGACTCTTTGTGACCCCATGGACTGTAGCACTCCAGGCCTCCCTGTCCATCGCCAACTCCTGGAGCTTACTCAAACTCATGTCCATTGAGTCAGTGATGCCATCTGAACATCTCATCCTCTGTTGTCCCCTTCTCCTCCTGCCTTCAATCTTTCCCAGCATCAGGGTCTTTTCAGAAGAGTAAGTTCTTCACATTAGATGGGCAAAGTATTGGAGTTTCAGCTTCAGCATCAGTCCTTCCAGTGAATATTCAGGACTGATTTCCTTTAGGATGGACCAATTGGACCTCCTTGCAGTTCAAGGGACTCTCAAGAGTCTTCTCTAACACCACAGTTCAAAAGCGTCAATTCTTCAGCACTCAGCTTTCTTTATAGTCCAACTCTCACATCCATACATGACCACTGGAAAAACCATAGCTTTGACTAGATGGACCTTTGTTGGCAAAGTAATGTCTCTGCTTTTTAATATGCTGTCTAGATTGGTCATAACTTTTCTTCCAAAGAGTCAGCATCTTATCTTTTAATTTCATGGCTGCAGTCACCATCTGCAGTGATTTTGGAGCCCCCAAAAATAAACTCTGTCACTGTTTCCACTGTTTCCCCATCTGTTTGCCATGAAGTGATGGGTCCAGATGCTATGATCTTAGTTTTCTGAATATTGAGCTTTAAGCCAACTTTTTCACTCTCCTCTTTCATTTTCATCAAGAGGCCCTTTTCTTCTTCTTCACTTTCTACCATAAGGGTGGTGTCAACTGCATATCTAAAGTTATTGGTATTTCTCCCAGCAATCTTGATTCCAGCTTGTGCTTCATCCAGCCCAGCGTTTTTCATGATGTACTCTGCATATAAGTTAAATAAGCAGGGTGACAGTATACTGCCTTGACGTGTTAATAGCTTAATAGACTTGACAGCTTAATAGACTACCTCAGAGGCTACACACTGTGGGGGAAGTAGACTTCCCTAAAATATTCCAGACAAGCAACCAAAAAGACCTGGAGGGCATGGGATCAGTATCCAGATTTTCTGCAATCATATTATCTAATTACCAGTACCCAACAAATAATTGAGACATGTAAAGAAACAGCAAAGTGTAACCCTTACACAAGAAAAAAGCAGGCAATAGAAATAACTTTTGAGAAGTCCTAGATGTCCTGCTCGAAACAGACTTTAAAGCAAGTATTATAAATGTATTTAGAGAACTAAAGGAAACCCACTTGAAGCTGTAAAGGAGGATTTTATGATGATATCCCATAAAGAAAGAATATCATAAATAGATTAAAAAAAATTTTTAAAGACCTAAATGAGAATTCTGAAATTGAAAAGTAAATAACCGAACTGAAAAATTCAGTTACTGCTGTTCAGCAGTATACTTGAGTTGACAGGAGAAAGGATTAGTGAACAGTGACCATGCAAGTTAAAGAACAGAAAGAAAAAAGATAAAAATGAACAGAGCTTCAGTGGAATGCAGGATTTGGAAATACCAGAAGGAGAGCAAAGAATGGAAACCTTCAGCATCAGTTTACACATTCTAAGACTCAGGAACCTCCAAGAACCCTAAACAAAAGAGAACCACGCTCAGACACATCATAGGAAACATTTTGAAAGCCAGAGACTTAGGGAATCTTGAAAGTTAATATCTTGAAAGAAGGTATTGTCAGAGTCAAAAAAAAAAAAGTCATATTCTGTCTACATGCCACATACTTTAAATTCAAAGATACAAATAGTTTGCCCATAAAAGGATGGAAAAAGATAAACCTGAACTGTTAGCTCGGAAGTCCCTCTCTGACCACTGCTAAGACGGCTTACCTTGAACATGCACAAGGTCTTCCAGACTGCCAGGGGTGAATGTGACTTGTCTTTAATGCCGGCTTCCGAGAACTCACCTGCGTCAGGGTGTGCTTCATTGTTCACTCAGTGTTTGGTTAGAGGTTGTATTTAAGTCCCTTTGCCAGGCACCTTCTGTCCTGTGTTGACGGGTGTGTATGTGGTTTGAGAAATGCTTTCAAGTCTAACGTCCTTCTAGGATGCCCCTGAGTATGTGCCTAGCACACATATCCAGCCTTCCCAAACCCCATAGTTGCCAGTGGTCCCAGTAGGGTTCTTCTCAGCAATCTCTTTCCCTGGTTCTCTCTATGAAATTTCTGGTCGTTCTAATGTTTTTCTTGTACCATGGAGCTATTAGCATTCTCTTAACTGCTCCTCGTCAAGGTCTCTGTTATCTTCAACAACACTGTTAGGCACAGAGTTCTCCACTCACTCTGCCAAATAAATTCAGTCCTTTCAGGCAGAGCTCTTCAACCTTAATGCCTGTCATGCCTCTTGAGCAGAACACCTGTGCCACTGCCCACTTTTCCTGGGGCAGCCATTCTGACTATTCAGGCAGGAGGCATCAGTCTCTGATCTTCTTGGTTGTCCCTCCCATGTGGAACCTCCTCCTTATGAGCAAGCTCCAGGTCTGGGGGGCAAGTAGAGCCTCAGTATTCTGGGCCCCCCACAGCTCGAGTAGGACAGTTACCCTACACATTGGCATTTGGTGAAGGAAAAGAGTCAAGGTTTTCTCTGCCTGCACCCTGGAATAGAGCTTTTACAGCTTGGAGCTAGAGGGAATGAGAAACAGGCAGCCTCTGTCTCCCAGAATGAAACTAAGCCTAGACAAGGAGTTGGGAGGAGAGGGCACTGCCATTTGGCCACATCTGCCTGGAGTAGAGCAACTGGGGTAGAGCTTCCATAACACGTAGATGGTTGAGTGAATAAGGGAGCAGAGTGCGGTGGGAAGAAAATGAGTGTGGGGAGAAAGTGGAAGCAGTAGGTGCAGGTTGGTTTTCAAGGTGTTTGGTCTTGATACTAATAGATGCTGCAGAACTTTGAAAAATAATTGTATTTAGATAAGATGTGTGTTTGTATTCGTAGCTTTGGGGAGGTACAAGCATATTTGAAGATCCAGAAGAAAGAATCTCACCTCCCTCCCCCTTCAGACAACAAAAAAAGACATGATATGTAGGGGGGAAAGAATATAAATGACATTTTGGGTGCAAAATCTAGAATCTAGAGCTAGATGGGGCTGAAGAAGGGTCTATCACTTCGGAGACCAGAAGTAAGAAGGAGGAGCTTCAAGGGAAAATAAATTTCAGGGGCTCTTTTCCTGCCCTACAACTCAACAGCCAGACACTGAGAAGCCTAAACCAGAGTTGAAGATGCAGGTAACTTTCTGCTTTAACAAGGCCAGAGAACTTGAATTCAGGGCAAAAGCCCAGTCTGCCTTCAAGGGAAAGAGGTCTTTTGGGTTTAAAAGGAGCATTCCAAAATATTGTTCTCCTAAGGATCATCAAAACAGGCAGAGGACAAGACCCTTCTTAACTCCCACCATAATAATAAATATGATGATATAAATAAATAGTAAATATGATGATATAATGAATCAGTGTTGATCCTATTTACGGTCAGTTAAAAACTCCTACAACAGAAAAGAAAAATGTGTGGTGAAATAGTTGATAGGATACCATAACGAAAAAGTCATTTTCATACTACTACAGTATCATTATAAAATATTGATATCTAACATATAAGAAAATGAGTGACAGATGTTGATACTTTATTTCAGCTTTAAACTTAACTGCAGTCTACATGATAACCCTTTATGTTTCCTTTTTCTTTAAGCTGCTAATAGTAGATGGCTCCAGGAACATCCAGAAAGTGCATATAACCTTGTGAATTCCCCACACTTAAAACCGGCCTGGATCTTAGACAGAGCACTTTGGCATTTATCCTGTGACGTTGCAGAAGGGAAATACAAAGACAGAGGAGTACCTGCTTTGATTGAAAATGATCATCAAATGAATGTCAGTATGTATAGAGGAATACCACACTTTTAGTACACAATTTCTAAAGTATAAATTAAGTGTCCTTTTGAAGATCATTTAGAACCTGTCTTTTAAGGTGCTAAATAATACTTAATAAATGATTTTAAATATGTGTTCTAACTATTAATATTTTTCAGTGCATTCGAAAAATAATTTGGGAGGATGTTTTTCCAAAGATTCAACTCTGGGAATTTTTCCAAGTAGATGTTCACAAAGCAGTTGAGCAATTTAGAGGACTTCTTACACAAGGTACAGGTTATACACTAGAATGTTACTATCAATTTTAAGAGATTTACTATTACTCTCTTGGTTAACACAGTATTAAATCTGTTATTATTATATGGTATTTGTGTTATTTTTGATGCTCTAATACTATGATTCTGGAAGCTATCTGTGAGTTAGCAGAGATCTGTAAAGGCCATGTCATTCAGTTCAGTTCAGTTCATTCGCTTGGTCGTGTTCAACTCTTTGCGACCCCATGGACTGCGGCACCCCAGGCCTCCCTGTTCATCACCAATCCCCGGAGCCTACTTAAACTCAATGTCCATCGTGTCAGTGATGCCATCCAACCATCTCATCCTCTGTCATCCCCTTCTCCTCCCACCTTCAATCTTTCCCAGCATCAGGGTCTTATCCAGTTAGTCGGTTCTTCGCATGAGGTGGCCAAAGTATTGGAGTTTCAGCTTCAGCATCAGTCCTTCCAATGAATATTCAGGACTGATTTCCTTTAGGATGGACTTGTTGGGTCTCCTTGCAGTCCAAGGGGCTCTCAAGAGTCTTCTCCAACACCACAGTTCAAAAGCATCAATTCTTTCATAATACACAATTATTTCCCTTGGGGACTACTTCTTATATTGATTCCTTAGCACAATGCTCAGAATACCGTACAGCTCAATATACATTTATTAAATGAATGTTTAACATGGCAGGTAAATAGAACAGATTATTTCATCTCCCAAAAACTCAAAACAGGCTTCAAAACTGAGAGATGTGATAGTCTTCTGTTGGCTAATGTAGGAATCTTAACTGAGGTAGTTGATGGTACCTCAGTTAACTTAACTGAGTTCTAGTTAATGGTACCTATCTTTAACACTGGGCTTCTTGGGTGGCATTAGTAGTAAAGATCCCACCTGCCAATGCAGGAGACGTAAGAGGCATGGGTACCATCCCTGGGTCAGGAAGATCTCCCGAAGCAGGGCATGGCAACCCATTGCAGTATTCTTGCCAGGAGAATCCCATGGACAGAGGAGCCTGGCAGGCTACAGTCCATAGGGTCGCAAAAAGTCAGACATGACTGAAACCACTTCGCATTCACATGTGCACTATTAAGGCCACCTAACCACTAGTGAGACTGACTCAGATACTAGCCAGTAGCAAAGGTAAAGAAACAAATCTCCGGTTAAGGACATAATTAACCTTAAGAAGTTAATCACTGTGTCACTAACAAAGTAGGATAGGAAAAACCGTGCCAAAAGGGAAATTAGGATTTTTTAGGAAGCTAATTAGAGAAATTATAAAGAATATATCTACAATTAGTATAGAACAACCTAAGAGCAAGGATCTTTGAAGGCTCTTAAAATAAGAAATCCTCTTCCTTATCCAGAAAGTTGAGCTTGAGTAAGGCCCAGAAACACTGCCTTCAAAGTCAAAGTCATTATGATTTGAGGCCCTGGAAGCTTCAGGTCAGGTTCACTCTTCCAGCTTTCACATTTGTGTAACATCTTAATACATGAATTTTTAATATTATCTTTCCTTCATGTTTTATCTTACTGAAGTGCCTCCATTTTCCCTTTCCTCTGATATTTATAAACTGTATTATTTATTTGCAATAATGTATCCTCACAGTAAAGAAAAAAAGCCAAACAGTACAAATATATAATAAATAGAATATGTAACTTCCTCTCCTCCAAAATCTACTTACTAGAAGGAACTATTATTTAATAGTCTCTTGTGTTTCTTTTCAAACTCTTTTTTGAAAGAAATTCCAATTTTATATAGTTAGTTACTGTAAATTACATTCATAAGTTTTATATTTATATCTGTTTTATACACACAAATAAGACTGCAGTATACAGACTGTTTAACAAGTTGTTCTTTTAGTTGACAACATGATCTTATTATAGCTAATTATTTCTTTTTAACTTCTAGATAGCAATACACTGCTTTAAAGTGCTTGAATTTCTTTTAACCATTTTGGTAAATTATTTACAGTTCATTTCTCATTCATTCATTTAATACATATTTATTGAATCACCTGTTATGTGCGAGGCACTCTTCCAGGTAGGGGGATTCAGTGGTAAACATAGCAAGCCCTGGATCTAGAGGAACTTATATTCTTACAAGTGATACTATAGAAAATAAATGCTTGTGCATGTTAACTTTACTTGCTTTGGGACTAAATCAGTAGGACAAATTGTTAGACAGAATTCATAGGTCAAAGAGTATACAAATTTAATGATAAATTTGTAATAGATGTTGTCAAATTGCTTTTCAATACAAGTTGTACCAGTTTATGTTATCACTAACTATAACATCATCAGCATTAGATACCATTTAATCTTTGTCAATAGGCAAAATATTCATTATTTTTATTTCTTTGGTTATGAATGAAATATCTTTTCATGTGTTAATTAGCCATTTATAATTCTTCCATTAATTGCCTATTAATGTTCTTCCCCTATTTTTCCGTTGGGTTGCTCGTCTTTTTCATATTGACTTATTATTACTGGTGGTTCCTTATTATAGAGCCTCAGCTATATCCTCCTATTATGCTGTTGATCTTTTAATCCTTGTTTACTGTGGTTTCCTCCCCTCACTGTAACCAAATGTATTGATCTTTTCTTCTATGGCTTCTAATTTCACATTGTGCCTAGACCTTCAAACACCATTCTGTTTTCTTCTGAAAATCTTATTTACAGTTTACTTTTAAATATTTAATATACCTGGAATTTATATAAAGAAGATATTAACTTTATTTTTGTTTTAAAAAGTGATACTGGGTTGATATTCCTTCCTTTTAAACTGGTTTGGGATACCACGATAATACTTCATGATGTATAATCATATGCTGAATATTCATGGGCCTGTTATCTGTGCTGTTCCAGTGATCTGTCTTTTAATCTAGCACTACTAAACACTTTTATAATATACACTGATTGTGTAGTTTTACCTCTTTTTAAAACACTTCTTGACATTTTTCATGTATGTTACTCTTCCAAATTAACCTCAGAAACTACATCTTTAAATCTATTTAATATTTGTTTTACTTTGTTTGCGCTTTTATAAGCCATTTCATTTAGAATAAGCCAGATATTAATTAACTAAAGTAAAATCAAACCCAGTGGAGGCAATCCTCCACTGATTTACTAGGAACAAGTTTCGAAATAAGAATGAAAACTCCCCCTACAAAGCATTTATTTAATTTTTTCATTTTTTATTATTATGTAAGAAGAGAATGCTAGTTGGTGAAAAGGAAAAAACATAAAAACAAACTTGTCTGCTTCTTTCAGAGAAAGTCAAGTTGTTAATAAGACTTAAGTTTTAGAATAGAAAGCAATCTTTGAGTAAAAAGAACTCCTAAAGTTAGTGTCTTTGGTAGCACCTGGGAAGAAAATGTATACCATCAACATCCTTAAGTAAATGTGTACCATCAACACTAGACCATTCAGGTATGACCTAAATCAAATCCCTTACGATTATACAGTAGAAGTGACAAATAGATTCAAGGGATTAGATCTGATAGACAGAGTGCCTGAAGAACTATGGATGGAGGTTCGTGACATTGTATAGGAGACAGGGCTCAAGACCATCCCCAAGAAAAAGAAATGCAAAATGGCAAAATGGTTGCCTGAGGAGGCCTTACAAATAGTTGAGAAAAGAAGAGAAGCAAAAAGCAAAGGAGAAAAGAAAAGATATACCCATTTGAATGCAGAGTTCCAAAGAATAGAAAGAGACAAGAATGCCTTCCTCAGCAATCAATGCAAAGAAATAGAGGAAAACAAGAGAATGGGAAAGACTAGAGATCTCTTGAAGAAAATCAGAGATAACCAAAGGAACATTTTATGAAAAGATGGGCACAATAAAGGACAGAATGGTACGGACCTAACAGAAGCAGAAGATATTAAGAAGAGGTGGCAAGAATACACAGAAGAATTATACAAAAATGACCCAGATAACTATGATGGTGTGACCACTCACCTAGAGCCAGACATCCTGGAATGTGAAGTCAAGTGGGCCTTAGGAAGCATCACTACAAACAAAGATAATGGAGGTGATGAAATTCCAGTTGAGCTCTTTCAAACCCTAAAAGATGCTGTGAAAGTGCTGCACTCAATATGCCAGCAAATTTGGAAAACTCAACAGCGGCCACAAGACTGGAAAAGATCAGTTTTCATTCCAATCCCAAAGAAAGGCAATGCCAAGGAATGCTCAGACTATTGCACTATTGCATTCATCTCACACACTAGCAAAGTAACACTCAAAATTCTCACACTAGGCTTCAACAGTACATGAGCCATGAATTTCCAGATGTTCAAGCTGGATTTAGAAAAGGCAGAGGAACCAGAGATCAGATTGCCAACATTCTCTGGATCATCAAAAAAGCAAGAGAGTTCCAGGAAAACATCTATTTCTGCTTTATTGACTATGCCAAAGTCTTTGACTGTGTGGATCACAACAAATTTGTGAAAAATTCTTAAAGAGATGGGAATATCAGACCACCTGAGCTGCCTCTTGAGAAATCTGTATGCAGGTCAGGAAGCAATAGTTAGAGCTGTGCTTGGAACAACAGACTGGTTCCAAATAGGAAAAGGAGTACATCAAGGCTGTATATTGTCACCCTGCTTATTTAACTTATATGCAGAGTACATCACAAGAAACGCTGTGCTGGATGAAGCACAAGTTGGAATCAAGATTGCAGGGAGAAATATCAATAACCTCAGATATGCAGATGGCACCACCCTTATGGCAGAAAGTGAAGAAGAACTAAAGAGCCTCTTGATGAAAGTGAAAGAGGAAAATGAAAAAGTTGGCTTAGAACTCAGCATTCAGAAAACTAAGTTCATGGCATCTGGTCCCATCACTTCATGGCAGATAGTTGGGGAAACAGTGGCAGACTTTATTTTTGGGGGCTCCAATTTCACTGCAGATGGTGATTGCAGCCATGAAATTAAAAGATGCTTGCTCCTTGGAAGAAAAGTTATGACCAACCTAGACAGCATATTAAAAAGCAGAGACCTTCCTTTGCCAGCAAATGTCCATCTAGTCAAGGCTATGGTTTTTCCAATGATCATGTATGGATGTGAGAATTGGACTATAAAGAAAGCTGAGCACCAAAGAATTGATGCTTTTGAACTGTGGTGTTGGGGAAGACTCTTGAGAGTCCCTTGTACTGCAAGAAGATCCAACCAATCCATCCTAAAGGAGATCAGTCCTGCGTGTTCATTGGAAGGACTGATGCTGAAGCTGAAACTCCAATACTTTGCCCACCTGATGGAAAGAAGTGACTCATTGGAAAAGACCCTGATGCTGGGAAAGATTGAAGGTGGGAGAAGAGGATGACAGAGGATGAGATGGTTGGATGGCATCACCGACTCAATGCACATGAGTTTGAATAAGCTCCGGGAGTTGGTGATGGACAGGGAAGCCTGGCATGCTGCAGTCCATGGGGTCACAAAGAGTCGAACATGACTTGAGCAACTGAAATGAGCATCTTTAGTGCCCTAAAAAATGTATAGAATACCTGAATACTAGTTGAAGCAGAAAGGTGAGACTGGGGTTGAACTGGTGGGAATTGCTGTGTTTTTCTTCTGCAGTGTTTTTTTTCTCCCCCAGTCAGCATCTCTCTCTCTTTACCCAACCCCGCCTCTCTGTCTCTTTCCTTCCGTGTGTGTGTGTGCACATTAGGTTTTTGCAGAAGAATACATAGGGAGGAAGGAAGGAATACTTATGAAATAAATAGTTCTTTTATTTTCTAAGAAAAAACAATAAATTAAAAATATGAAATAAGTAACAGTTATAATCTCCTTATACATATCTGCATTTAAGATATAATATTTTCTTTCTTTCAGAAAATAGGAAAACAACAAGGCCTGATCCAGATCACCACCTTAAGATAATTCAGGATCCTGAATACAGACGGCTTGGCTGTACTGTAGATATGAATGTTGCTCTAGCAACTTTCATACCACATGAGTATGTTTTATATTTTACTACATACTAAAGAATAATATTACTTGTAAACCTTTACAACTATTCTGATTACATTTATGGTATTATTTTTATGCTATTTGTTAACAGCCTGAATAGAAAATGAAATAAAGTAATTCACTATAACTACTACTTCCAACACATGACATTTCCCCTTTTGTGGTAAAAATGTATACAACTGGAAAATTTCTTAAGTCTTAATTAAGGTCCTGATGAATATATTTAAAGTTTCTATTACCCGTATTAGAAAAATTTCAAATGTAGAGTTTGTAGAACCATTAAATATTGTTTGTATTGCTTTATCTACTTCAAGCAATGGGCCAACCGCAATTAACGAATGCTGCAATTGGTTCAGGAAGAGAATTGAGGAATTAAATTCAGAGAAACATCAACTCATGAACTATCATCAGGAACAGGTTTTACCTACCTCTTTTGAACTGCTGTTTTTCTTTGAGTTTTAATCTGTTTTTTGCTGTTGTTATTGACATAAGTTCATGTTTTCTAGGCAGTCAATTGCCTTTTGGGAAATGTGTTTTATGAACGACTGGCTGGCCATGGTCCTAAACTAGGACCTGTTACTAGAAAACATCCTTTGGTTACCAGGTATTCCATTTTGCTTTCTTCTCATGAAAGGTTAAAAATTGAAAATTGTATTAAACTCTTCAAATTAACCTAAATTTAAATTTCCTCTAATGTGTGACCCAGTATGTTTCTTAAATTGAAATAGCAGCTTTGATCTGGTAACTAGGCTTAATATTAGGGCTTTCCTGGTGGCTCAAGGTTAAAGCATCTGCCCGCAATATGGGAGACCTGAGTCGATCCCTGGGCTGGGAAGATTCCCTGGAGAAGGAACTGGCAACTCACTCCAGTATTCTTGCCTGGAGAATCCCGTGGATGGAGGAGACTGGTGGACTACAGTCCACAGGGTCGCAAAGAGTCAGACACAACTGAGCTACTTCACTTCACTTCAGGCTTAATATTAATTAATTTTGTTAGGCAAATCTTTAGTTAGAGAAACTATTTTCAGTATGAACCAATTTATAATAATTTAGATTCATGTTTCTGGAGGACTGCATACTTACTAATAATTTCAGTGTTAAGCAAATTAAACAAGTATTTAGCTCTTTATAAGTAATGTATAGCAGAGATCAGTCAACTGAACCATAGTAAAAACTTTTGCAAAATAATGTCAATACTTTAGTGATTTTCTTAGTCATTCTATGAGATTTTTAAAGTTATTACTTAGAATGTTAATCAGATAAACTATATTAACTCAATTTCTCAAATCCTACTAGATTTACTCAAAATTTCTGATGATTTTTTCACCTGTATTGAAGTTTATTTCTTATTTCTTATAAATGGTGTCAAACTAATCTTATCTATTCTATTCACTAGGGACAAAGTTTAATTTTAATGGTATTAATTCAGATTTTCTCCAAGGAGTTTCTCTGTATGAATTTCATACTTCATTGTATCTCCCTAGATATTTTACTTTCCCTTTTGAAGACATATCCCTCTCTGTAGAAGAATCAATGATTCATGTCCCAAATAAAGCTTGTTTTCTGATGGCACATAATGGATGGGTAATGGGAGATGATCCCCTTCGAAATTTTGCTGAACCAGGTATGTCTTTTTTGTTAACTTCTCTATGGACAGGGAAATAAAAGTTCATGGCAAGCTCAGAATATAAATTGTTTGTTGATTTTGTTCCCCGAGTAGGCTAATGGTTTCTAAATTGTTTCGTTGGAGATGCCAGAGGTGCATATAGTTTGAGAGAAGAGAAGGGACTGACAGAATGAGATTCAGCTTCTTTCTCCTTCTTTCCTTTTCTACCCCTTATCTCCTCTTCCTTAACAGAAGAGTTCTTATATATCTATTTGATATTATGGTTCTACATTGGGCAACTCATTTGTACACAAATGTACTCATTTGCATCTTTAAAAAGCGATTTGAACCTGTATGATTACAACTGTTTACTGTAAGAGATATTTTCACTCATTAGCTAGAGGAGTATTTAAGGTTGAATGACAGTTAAACTAGAAAACAATTTTTTTTAGATTCCCTGTTACTTAATGCTAGCTTCTTATTTTTTATAGCCATTTCACTGCCAGGAATAATTTTGCAGAGGACCTATCAATGTATTTATTTTTTAACATTTCAGAATCAGAAGCCTGTTTTATGTCATTAAATTTAATTCAGAAGTCTCATTTTTTAAAAAAAATGTAGTTTTGCATTTAAGTATCTCTGACCTCTCCTTTCTAACCATTCGAAGTGAAAAATGCCACTCTGCTCTACACCATGGATTTAGTGTAACATATTGCCAAAAATTGGTAGCAGGATAGAGATGGAGCTTTAAATGTTTTTGGTATAGCTTTAAAGGCCCATGATATTACTATTACTTTTCCTTTAAGAAGCAACTTGAATTTTTACTTTTAAGCACACATTTTTAGAAGGGACTGTAAGGTACAGTTTTAGCAAAATAGATCTAAATTACTGTCAATTTTTTAAAACTTTATCCCATACCATTTTAGATATAATTTTAACCTATATATGGCTTTTGTTAGAAATAATAAATGTGATTTAAAAACAACAGTTTTTCCTTGAAATAAATATTTTCATTTCATTCCTTGAACCATTAAAAGCAAGCTCCTTTTTTAACAGGTTCAGATGTTTATCTAAGGAGAGAACTTATTTGCTGGGGAGACAGTGTTAAATTACGCTATGGGAAAAAACCAGAGGACTGTCCTTATCTCTGGGCACACATGAAAAAATACACAGAAATCACTGCGACTTATTTCCAGGGCGTCCGTCTTGATAACTGTCACTCAACCCCTCTTCATGTAGCAGAGGTACAGATAAATAACTCATCTTGTTAAAGAAATCAGTGTTCTTTCCTAGCTTTCCTTAATGAGAGCGTACAAATACATGTCTCCTTCTGCTTGTTGAATGCTAACAGTAATGTGGTGGTAGTATTTTAAAGCTTGCATAACTTGCATAATTCTGAGAATTTTTTGATGCAGATATTATGGAGTACTGGGCTATAAAACATGTGAGTTAATATTTTTATTTAAGTTAGGGACATTATATTGTCTCTGATAATACACATACAACAATATTGCCATATATATTATTAAAATATTATCAATATTTTAATGTTAATATTTTTAAAGAATTAACCTTGTTAATAATTTAACAATATATAAATATTAATTTGTCTTATTATTAGGTTGGTTTCAATACATTAGTAGCCACTGTGAAGTCATATAGCTTATTTCATATGATAACAATTATTTAAACACTAGCATTACAGCATATTGAAGATAGTTTGTCTCATTGATTCAATTTTCATTATCATATGGAAATGTAATTATATGTAAATGTAAACATAAAAATTTTCTTTCCCTCAGGTTTTTTATAGTAACTTAAGCAATGCCAACATTTATAGCATTATCTTTTATGAAACAAAAAAGATAATGCTATAAATTTTATACAATTTATAGCATTATCGTTTATGTTTACAGCTTTGTAAACACTTTAGATTTTCATTTATTTGTAAGATGTTTGAAAGTTTCCTAGTGACAAGTTAGTGTTCTATGGAAATGTGTGCTTAACTGAAAAACATCTATTTCTATCATTTTAAAGCAATATTATAATGCATATGTTTCAAGTCCTGTGATGAAAAATTGCTTTGATTTGGAAGAATTTAATGAACTTTAGTTAAGGTATTAGAACATTTTTAGCTTCAAAAACAGAGTTTTTTAAATGTATGCCTTTAGCAATACACTTGTAAGATGGTTATAACAATATAGCAAAACTTAGAATACTAAAATTTAATTGGCTTAAGTTTAAGTTTAAAAATCCTCTAGGGTCTTACATGTTAGAATTTCAAGTATTTTATTAGCCTCTGTGCAAATGTTCAAAATTTTTTTTTTAACTGATCTGATTTCTGATTAGAAGTTTTGGGAAATTCCTTGGCAGTCCAGTGGTTAGAACTCTGTGCTTTCACTGCCATGGCTTGTGTTCAGTCCCTAGTCAGTGAACAAAGATTTAGCAAGCCACATAGCATGGCCAGGGGGAAAAAAAAGGAGTTTATTATCATCTGCAGGAAAAACTGGCTCCAGTCTAGTCAGACCTAATCTTTACGATAGCTAAATGACGCATCAGCAGGTAATTTATCATTTATAGTTTAGTCAAGGGCCTGGAAATTAATAGACTAATGAGAGATATTAAAAACAGAATATAAAATAGGGTTTGGAAAGCCTAGCAGACTTGCAGTATTATGGTTTACATTTTTTAAGTGACACTAACATTTTTCTTCTTCCTTTTTTTCCCCCTTTTGTGTCCCATCTGCAAAATCTAATCTTCCTTTTTAACTGTTATATTCGCTTTATACATTCTTTTGTTTCCTGTATGTATTGGTCCATTTTATGTTTTCTTACTTATACACAATTAAATTTATTTGGAAATTCTCTTGGATTTCCATTTTGTCTTGCTGCATGGTATTTTCCTGTGTCAAACCCATGCCTAGTCTTGCCTCCTCTCCTTCCGCAACACCATCTTGCTTTTCTCTTTCTGTTATTTTGTGACTGTGCTTTTTGCAGTACATGTTGGATGCTGCTAGGAAAGTGCAACCCAATTTATATGTAGTAGCTGAACTGTTCACAGGAAGTGAAGACCTGGACAATGTCTTTGTTACTAGACTGGGCATTAGTTCCTTAATAAGAGGTAGGCTCATTGAAAGTGTTTTTCCCATCTAAAGCTTCAGTTTTTGTTTAAGTAGATTAAAAGGCATTTAATAGCTTTATGTACAGTGTTTAATAATGCTCAGCATAGTTATTGTTCTTTTAAACAGTCTACTCAAAATTTCTTAATATAACTGAATCTGTTTTCATCAGTGAAAATTTCTACTTTGGGGTAACATATCTCATTTTAACTTGAAAGACCAATGGAATGAATTGCTGACTCTTGAACAAAATCACTTTTTTGTTGTTGAAAATATATAAATCTGTTTTTCATCTCTATCTGCCTAAATGATGTAATCTTGAGATTTTTCTCCATAGATTTTATGTAACCAACATCCTAATAAGCAGCATATATTCCGTTTTTTACCGCATGAGCCGTTTCTCTGGTTAAGTTGCAGAAGAGACTTTTTTGTTATTTAAACTGATGGACATTTGTTTAAATGTTTAAATCAGTTTTATTTTTGATAATATTTTTGTGAACTGTTTTTGAAAATCAGCCACAATACAAAATCTAATCTGCTTTTGGACATTGCTAATGAAGATTGTTAAAGTATTCTGTAATGCTTTGCAGAGGCAATGAGTGCATACGATAGCCATGAAGAGGGCAGGTTAGTTTACCGATACGGAGGAGAACCTGTTGGATCCTTTGTTCAGCCCTGTTTAAGGCCTTTAATGCCAGCTATTGCACATGCCCTGTTTATGGATATCACCCATGATAACGAGTGTCCCATTGTGGTAAGCATCCTTCCTGTTTCTTGTATTTACTTATTTTGCTAAATGTTTTGATATTTAGTTCTCTGCTGTTTAATGGCAGTAATATCTACAGTACCTCAAAATAGTGCCTTAGATTTATAAGTGATTGTGATTTAAAGGTTTTTGAGTGGTTTGTTATTTGTTTTAAAGTAAATGAATATATCTTCAGAATGTATTTATGTACTTATCCTTTTACTTCATTGGGTTATAGGATGGCACTTTGCATTTGAAAGAAAATAAACTTTTGTCGTTTTACTCTTTTGTAGCATAGGTCAGCATATGATGCTCTCCCAAGTACCACAATTGTTTCCATGGCATGTTGTGCTAGTGGTAGTACTAAAGGCTATGACGAATTAGTGCCTCACCAGGTTTGTTTATGTGTTGTTTTTTAAAATCCACAAGGCTAAAACCTGATCATTTTTACCAAATTTCTCATTGTAATTAAAACATGCACATGGCTAAGTTTTTATTTTGTTCAGATTTCAGTAGTTTCTGAAGAGCGGTTTTATACTAAATGGAATCCTGCAGCATCACCATCCAACGCTGGTGAAGTTAATGCCCAAAGTGGCATTATTGCGGCCAGGTGTGCTATCAATAAACTTCACCAAGAGCTTGGAGCCAAGGGTTTTATTCAGGCAAGAAGCTACATTTTCTAGGTTTCTTTCTTAAGGTTCAGTTTTAGTGTCTTTCCAGTTTGAGCACTAATGTATTTTCTCTGTTTCTCAGGTATATGTGGATCAAGTTGATGCAGACATAGTGGCTGTAACAAGACATTCACCCAGTATCCATCAGTCAGTCGTATCTGTTTCCAGAACTGCTTTCAGGAATCCCAAGACTTCATTTTACAGCAAGGAAGTGCCTCAAATGTGCATCCCTGGTAATGTGAGCTAAAAAATGTTGTTTTGATTGTATTATATTGTTTAATTGTTAGTAATAATACATATTAAATTGTTGTTACATGTCATATATGTTGTAACAGTGCAAATATAGATGTAGTTAAGAAAAAGAATTACAAATTTTTGATAACTTGTATTTTTACTACATGGAACAAAACCTGGAAATACTGTTAAATGTTAGCATTTTTTGAATTGTAATTTTATTTTCATCTTAATACATTTTCTTATCTCCTAATTTGTATAAATGAACTTGTATTTCTTCTATACCCAGCTAGATTTATATGTATATTCATGTACATATGTATATACATATATATTTGTGTGTGTGTCCAAGTATTTTGTGTACATGTATACATATATTTACATATATAAACTAAAATGGAAAATAGTTTAATATTTAAGGCACTTTGTAATCCATCCTCATCTGTTTCAACCAAATAGATATTATCACTGCTCCCTAAGTAGCCTTACTCCTACTTATATATGAATTCTTTACATCTTTCAAGGACTAAAGTTTAACCTCCTTTGAGATGCCTTCTCTAAGTACTCAGTAAACTCTCTGTCCTCTGAGCGTATAGCAATTATAGTCTCTGTAGCACTCAGACATTGTAAAATGCATCCTTGAGGTATATACTTATTAGTGCTTGTTTGTTTTCTAGACATGTGTATTTAATTTCCTTATTTATTATTATATATAATATATTATGGCATAACATGCTCCTGTGCATATAGCAGCTGTCCAAGTCTGTTGACTAACTGAGTGAATGAAGCTTCTCACAAAAATCATCATATTCTATATTTGTTGCTAATTGCAAAATATTCATAACTCCCATTTTTAGAAGTTATCAACTTGAATAGTTTTAGGGTTAAATGTCTATTGCTTTTTTTTTTTAACTGTTCACAAGTTTATATTCAGTAATCTCACCTGGTTGTTGCTAATATACATATATATTTTCACATGGTTACACTCAGTGTATACAGTAATATCTCAGGGTTTTGTTTTGTTTTGTTTTTGATCAGTGATCATTAAAAACATTTTCCATTTTGTCAGTCCACATAATTGTGATTTTCATTATGTTGAATGTTTTATATTTTATTATGTTAGCATTCCATTTTTAACATTTATGTGTGTGTTTAGCAGTGTTCTTTTTTTTAATCTTTCTTTTTTTTTGGCAGTGTTCTTTAAGATTTCATTATACACTAGGAATAATCTTTTTGTTTTGAGTACTTTTCTCAGTATATATTTTCAGAAGTAGATTTCTGGATCAGAAGCTCTTTCATTGTCAGGTTAATAGCTTGAAGTTCAAATTATTTAAATAATAAAGTGTCAGTTTTATATATCTTTTGATCTAGCAATTCTATTTCCAGGTATGTATCTGAGAAACTCTCCTGCATTTCCATTAAGAAATATGCACAAAAATATTTATTGTAACGTTATTTATAATAGAGGAAAAACACTGACAATCGTGGTTAAATGAATACATTTTGGTATACTCATACAGGGAATACCGTTTGGCATTTGAAATAAATGCGGTAGAGCTAACATAGCAGTGTAACCAAATCTGAAAAACTACAGTGTTATCCGACAGAAAGGAAGTTGCACAAGTGTATATATAACTTGAATCCACTTACATAAACTTGGAAATATAGAGAATAGTATGTGGTGCTTAGGGAAACATGTATATGTAGTAAAAATGCACAGGATCAATGCAGACCAACCTGCAGGTAGTGGTTACCTCTGAAGGGAAAGAAAGGGAACACAGGGATATCAGTTGGGTTTGGAATATTTTCTTAAGTGAGGTAGTGGGATCTGGGTGTTTTAACTTTTCCCTACTTTTTCTATACTTGAAATACTCTATTTTTAAAATGTAAGCCTTTCAAGTGGTCTACTTTCTCTCCTGTCAATATTAGGCAGGTTTCACATTGTTTCCCAGAGCTAAACTGTTATTACTTGATGAAATCTCTTTTAAATAGTTTTGTTAATTTTTTAAAAGCATGTGTAAAAATTGTATGTTACATAGAATTATCTGTTCTCAGATTGCTTTTTTTTTAAGTTAGCTAATATATTCAACTTTAAGTTAAATGATTTAAAACCCCTTTAGCAGTTCTTAATTTCAGATGGTTTAATATGAAATTTTGTTAAAGTTTTTATGTATTCCTAGGCAAAATTGAAGAAGTAGTTCTTGAAGCTAGAACTGTTGAGAGAAATACAGCACCTTATAGGAAGGATGCTAATTCAATCAATGGAATACCAAACATCACAGTAGAAATTAGAGAACATATTCAGGTACTTCGGACTCTCATCTCACTACTGTATTTAACATTTTAAGGACATTAGAATTATTTATTGAATAGTTTTATATATTTTTTTCAAGCTCAATGAAAGTAAAATTGTTAAACAAGCTGGAGTTACTACAAAAGGACCCAATGAATATATTCAAGAAATAGAATTTGAAAATTTGTCTCCAGGAAGTGTTATTATATTCAGGTAGAGTTCAAGCTATTGACTTAATATTTAAAATGTTTTACATATTCTGTTAATTTTGAATAAATTACTCCTAAAAATCAACCACATTTTAATTAATATTTTCAGAGTTAGTCTTGATCCACATGCGCAAGTTGCTGTTGGAATTCTTCGAAATCATCTAACACAGTTCAGTCCTCACTTTAAATCTGGGAGTCTTGCTGTTGACAACGCAGATCCTATATTAAAAATTCCTTTTGCTTCGTAAGTGTGCCTTATTTTACGGAGATTTGCCACTTTAATAATTGATAAGTTGTCACAAGCCTGATTTAAGCAGTTTTAAGGCTTTTCTATATCCTTGTTACTCAAAGGATAGTCCAAGGACCAGCAGTATTGACATCACTTATTGTTAACATTTTGTCCTTTTGCTTTATCATTTGTGTGCACACATGCTCTCTCACTCATACATGCTCTCTAGATAGATAGATATACATATATACATATGTACACACACATATATATGTATATACACATCTTTATATATACACACATACAGTTTTTCTGAGCTATTTGAGACTAAGTTACATGCGTCATACTCTTTACCATTTCATTTTTTTAATACCAATACATTGTTCTAATATCTGGCTATACCATAGTTTATTTCATCAGTCTCCATTTTTTGGACACTTACTTGGACCAGTTATTTACACTTTATTCATTTCAGTTTCCTCCTTTGGAAAATGAGGCTTAAAATAATTCCTACCTCTTAGATTTTATAAGTATTAAATTGGATAATGCACATGAAACACTTAACACAATTCATGGCACATAACAAATGCTCAATACATGTTATATATCATGAATACTAGGATAATTTCCAGGAATGGAATTTCTGAGTTAGACTATCATGTATTTGAGACTTTTAATACTGCCAGATCCCTTCCAGAAAGATTATATTAATATTTTCAGCTGTATGTAAAAGTCTAGTATCCCACATCCTTACTGAGTATATGTTATTATAATGTAATGTTTAAGAGCATAAAGGATGGGACCAGACTGCCTGGATTTAAATTCAATTTCAGACTTATTAACTGTAAGAAGTAAGACTTTGGGCAAGTTACTTAGGAGATATAGTGACTCTGAGAACAGTGTTTGACAAAGAGTACTAGTGATCAATAAGTGTGAGCTATTACTAGTCAAATTGGTAATTATAAAGTACTTTAAAATTACATCTCAATTTATTTTAAATATTAAGCTAATTTCTGTGTTCATAAATCATTTGTATTTATTTAGTGAAATGTCATTTTTAAATATCAGTTCGTTTTTCTGTTCTGTTCAATTGGTTTTGTTGTTCTAGAAGAGCTTTTATTAGTAAGGATATTAACTCTTAATTCAAGCCATACTTAGATACATTATTTTAAAAATCTGAGATGAAGCAGTTTTGTGCTTCTATGGCATGTTTATAAAATGGCGCTGCTGCTGCTGCTGCTAAGTCACTTCAGTCGTGTCCAACTCTGTGCGATCTCACAGACGGCAGCCCACCAGGCTCCCCCATCCCTAGGATTCTCCAGGCAAGAACACTGGAGTGGGTTACCATTTCCTTCTCCAATGCATGAAAGTGAAGTCGCTCAGTCATGTCCGACTCTTAGCCACCCCACGGACTGCAGCCTACCAGGCTCCTCCGTCCTTGGGATTCTCCAGGCAGGAGTACTGGAGTGGGGTGCCACTGCCTTCTCCAATAAAATGGCACATTCCTCATCAAAGCTACTAAGATTATCTCAGGACAAGAATCTGCACTTGAATATGCTGGTCCAGGAGTTGAATTCTTAGTGACAAGGATGCTGATTGGTACAAGTTGGTACAATAGTTATGCCAGTAGAAGGGAGTTGGAGTACTGAGGCTGGAGTGATTTGACAGCTCAAAGTTACAATGGAGGGGGTTCAGTCCCAGGTGAGAGGAGGGACAGGTAGTAGAGAAGAGGATAAGCAGAGTGACAGTCATTCTAAGATGATGAGCTTCTAAGTGATGGGGAGTTAGTCACTAAGTCGTGTTCTAAGTTAGGGAGTTACTGAGTAATAGAATGAAGAAAGTAGGTTAAGAATTGTTTCAATTTTCGAGGATATGTATTCAGTTATATAAGGTGATTTACCTGAGTAATTAGAAGTGCAAGAAAGTAGGGTTTCAGTTGCATTCAGGTAGATGTGGTCCCTTACACAATCTCACTGCTAACTGAAACTTTGTTGAAACTAAAGCCCTGAGAGTTAGTTTCTGCATTCTGATCATTATCAAGAAACAACTTTAAGAAAATCTTAGTTCTTTGAACAACAAATCCGAAAGGTAGTGCAACTTTAGGCAAGGACAGAAAGGAAAAGGAGAGATAGGCAACAGTAGAATAACACATGATTTCTAAGGTAGTTAACTGTGACTTTTGATTATCCTTCTACTGGTCCTTTGATAATTATTTTGAGTTTAAGATAGTATAAAAGTGCTTGTCATACATAGGAGAATATAAAGGAGAAAAAAGACTAAGTCTGAAATAGAAAGATTAAAAACGCAAATTTAAAAGATAAAGGGTATAACAACCAAAAGATTTTTTCAGTGTACTTCTAATTAATAAAATTTAGCACTTGATTAATTCCTTGTCTTGGAAGAAGTGTTACTTCTAATTGAGTTTTCAGCATGTTTGTTGTTTAATTGTTGTTTATAATGTGTACTGCTTACAATGTATAGTATAATGCTGAGTTCCTAAAACATACATTTCTAAAACCATACATTTTCTGGTTATGGTTCAGATTTTCTTCTTTATTTTTATTGAGAGCAAGTGGAATTTCATTATATTTAACCAGCTTTCTTTATTTTCCAATTGTTAGTATTGCCTCTAGGTTAACTTTGGCTGAGCTAAATCAGGTACTTTACCGATGTGAATCAGAAGAACAAGAAGATGGTGGAGGATGTTATAACATACCAAACTGGTTACCTCTTAAATATGCAGGTCTTCAAGGTAAGCAAGTATAAAGATGGTGAAGCTTTTCAGGGGTATTTTTTTAGAGTCATGTGGTATCTTCCTTATAGAAATAAGAGTATGGGCTCAGAGTTCAACTGCTTGGGTTCAAATCATGGCTCTGTCACCTACTCATTGATTGACCTCTGACAAGTAACTTAAATTCTCTGTGCCCCAACTTCTGCCTTCATAAAATGTGAATAGTATTGTCTAATTCATAGACTTTTGTGAGGATTAAATGAGATCATTCATTTGGGCCCCAAATGGGACTAGGTTGTAAGTATAGTCATCTTTTTTCATATAATTTGAAATATTTTTTATCGCCTATTTGCTTTATCCTACAAAGAGAACTTTTAGTTAAATATTTTGTAGTTAGAATAGTTGTAAACTGAGATAAAGGAACTAAATATTTAACTGTCAGCTTAATTCATTTGGTTAGCCATATTTTCTTAGGTTTTTATTTAGGAAATTTGGTTTACTGCACATATAGTCCTGGTTCATGAAGTTTACAACTTAACAAGCCTCCTTTTCAACTCCTAATTTCTTTCTACATCTCCCATCTTTAAGGGCCAATTCAATTCTTACATCTTCCACAAATCCTTCCTTAACTATTGATTTCACAGTAATTTCTTTGTCTTCCAGACATCCATTGTATTTATCTATTATATCTCTTATTAACCCTTGGAATTTATTGCTTTATTTTAATAATTAATATACTATTTTTTGTGAATGTTTGATCATGGTCAAGAAATAGGTTTTAGAACCAAACTATGGGTTGCACTGACTAGCTTTAATTATATGGTAAATTGTGGCTCAGTTTTTTCATCTGTAAAATGGAAATAAAACTAGTATTTACCACAAGGGCTTACTGTTGGCATTAAATGAGTTAATATGTATGAAGTACTTAGACAGTGAGTGGTTAGTTCATAGTAAGTATTCAGTGATAACTAGCTATCAAACTCCACTAAGTAGACTGTACCCTTAGAAGAATAATGTTTGCCTTTTGAAGTATTCCTGTTTTTAGCTTTCATACCTTCTGCAAAATCAAGCATGTAAGAAGCTTTCAATAAAAAATTTTAAGACTTTTTATGCTTATGACATTTTTTCTGAAATATTCTCATTTTTTATTTTGTGCTGTAATAAAGAAATGTACGTGTTTCAGCCATAAGCAGATATCTACTCCATTTTCATTCCAAGATGTTAAACTCCTTTTTCTACTTGCCTGAAAAGACTGTACTTGTGTGAACTTCTTTTCTCGCCTTTATGTTCCTTGTAATTAATTAAGTATAGTTATAGACATAACTATACTTTCTACTTTCCTACTACTTTCTCATGAAATGATTTTTCTCATTCATTCTAAATATAATTGCCCTTATTTGATTTATCTTTTTACCCTATACCAATCCGTATTTCCTCTGGCTGTTTAATATTTCCGACAATCACCTTGTATTTCCAGTAGGCTTTTAATAACAACCTCAGATTACTCAAATCACACTTAACCATTTCACTGACCTTTCTCTTCTCTAACCCGAATTCCCCTTCCCAACTTCTTGTAACAATAATATCTTAAATTTATATATTTAACTTTAAATTTTCAAAACATGCTTATTATATACAATAAAATTAATTAAATTCTAACTAAATAAATTTATTTGGAATGAAGTCAGTGAAGCCAATATAATTTTAAATTGCTACCCTACTAAGTGATGGAAAGAAGTATTGTTCTAGCTGTCTGTCATTGAAATAACAATATGTTATATATACATAGAAATTCTTTGCAACCCTATGGATTATAGCCCGCCAGGCTCCTCTGTCCATGGGATTCTCCAGGCAAGAATACTGGAGTGAGTTGCCATTTCTTCCAGGGGATCTTCCTGACCCAGGGATTGAACATACTACATCTCCTGCATTGGCAAGTGGATCCTCTTACCACTGAGGCACCTGGGAAGTCCAGAAATTTCTATGGCACAGTGGTAAAGAATCTGCCTGCCAATGCAGATGACTCAAGAGGTGCAGGTTCAATCCCTGGCTTGGGAAGATGCCCTGGAGTAAAAAATGACAACCTACTCCAGTATTCTTGCCTGGAAAATTCCATGAACAGAGGAGCCTCATGGGCTACAGTACATGGAGTCACAAAGAATCAGACATGACTGAGCACACACACACACACACACACACACACACACCTGCATAGAAATTCTCATATTTCTAATTGAGTGGTACTTGAGGATATGTCTGTATACATCATTTTGATACTTTATTTAGTTCCAAGTACCTCCTGTTATGGGCTTCCCTGGTGGCTCAGCAATAAAGAACCCACCTGCTGATGCAGGAGACAGGGTCGATTTCTGGAGAAGGAAATGGTGACCCACTCCAGTATTCTTGCCTGGAAAATCCCATGGACAGAAGAACCTGGTGGCAGGATCCAATCCATGAGGTTGCAAAAGAGTCAGACAACTTAGCAACTAAACAACAACACAAACTCCTGTTATATTTCAAAGTTTCTCTCCAGAACAGACCTTGTTCTTAGTATCACCATAGGTGATCTTGCTGTCTCTGAGGCCAGTTCTATGGTTTTTTCTTAAATCTTGCTTGAATATTCATGAATCTACCACTTTTCAACTGTAAAAAGACAAACTTAGCAGTTTTCTTCCCCTAGATGCCTTAGGATAGGGAAGCTGGGCCAATTGCCTTTGAATATTGTAATATTAAAATTCAAAAGAGCAGGACTAACCCCAGAAAACAGGAATCTTGGAAAGCTCTGCATAGCTCATGCGACCAACCACAGTCCCCATCAGCCTGCCTTTGTATCTTGGTTCCAGGCAGTGTTGCCACACTTAGCTCCAGTCATGGGAAGTGCCACTGAGGATTATGCTGCTCTTGTATCTAGCTGTATGTATATTCACCCTCAATCACTGGAGACCAGCAGCAGGTTGCCGGGCTATGAGAGCAAACTACCTCTGCCAGTGATGGAATTGGTATTGATATTTCTTTGAATTTTCAGGATTAATGTCCGTATTGGCAGAAATAAGACCAAAGAATGACTTGGGGCATCCGTTCTGTGATAATTTGAGATCTGGAGATTGGATGATTGACTATGTCAGTAACCGACTTATTTCACGGTCAGGAACTATTGCTGAAGTAAGTAAAGTTATATTCTCATCCAAAAGAATAGAAGGTGGGGGGCATAGTAAGAAATACATATTAACATATATGTTTATGTTGTTTTCTAACCTGAAACATTTTCTTCTCCATCTTTCAGTTCTTATAAGTGAAAATCTGGTTAATAGATTGCTAGATAATACAATGGCATGTTTGGATTTAGCTCTTAAAATACACCTAACCTATAAGCACACCAAGTTAACTTTGAAAATTATTTTTTTTTACTTTTATTTTTTTTTTTATATTTTTAATTAATTAATTAATTTATTTATGTTATTTACTTGACTTATTTTTTATCACAACCATAGTTGTATCTTTTTTTTTTTTTTTACATGTATTCCCCCATCCCGCTCCCCCCCACCCCTCCTCCACCCATCCCTCTCCCATCCTCTGGGTCTTCCCAGTGCACCAGGCCCGAGCACTTGTCTCATGCACCCAACCTGGGGCTGGTGAACTGTTTCACCCTAGATAATATACGTGTTTCGATGCTGTTCTCTTGAAACATCCCACCCTCGCCTTCTCCCAGAGTCCACAAGTCTGTTCTATACATAGGAGTCTCTTTTTCTGTTTTGCACATAGGGTTATCGTTACCATCTTTCTAAATTCCATATATATGTGTTAGTATACTGTAATGGTCTTTATCTTTCTGGCTTACTTCGCTCTGTATAATGGGCTCCAGTTTCATCCATCTCATTAGAACTGATTCAAATGAATTCTTTTTAATGGCTGAGTAATATTCCATGGTGTATATGTACCACAGCTTCCTCATCCATTCGTCTGCTGATGGGCATCTAGGTTGCTTCCATGTCCTGGCTATTATAAACAGTGCTGCGATGAACATTGGGGTACACGTGTCTCTTTCAGATCTGGTTTCCTCGGTGTGTATGCCCAGAAGTGGGATTGCTGGGTCATATGGCAGTTCTATTTCCAGCTTTTTAAGAAATCTCCACAGTGTTTTCCATAGTGGCTCTACTAATTTGCATTCCCACCAACAGTGTAAGAGGGTTCCCTTTTCTCCACACCCTCTCCAGCATTTATTGCTTGTAGACTTTTGGATAGCAGCCATCCTGACTGGTGTGTAATGGTACCTCATTGTGGTTTTGATTTGCATTTCTCTGATAATGAGTGATGTTGAGCATCTTTTCATGTGTTAGCCATCTGTATGTCTTCCTTGGAGAAATGTCTGTTCAGTTCTTTGGCCCATTTTTTGATTGGGTCATTTATTTTTCTGGAGTTGAGCTGGAGGAGTTGCTTGTATATTTTTGAGTTTAATCCTTTGTCTGTTGCTTTGTTTGCTATTATTTTCTCCCAATCTGAGGGCTGTCTTTTCACCTTGCTTATAGTTTCCTTTGTTGTGCAAAAGCTTTTAAGTTTCATTAGGTCCCATTTGTTTATTTTTGCTTTTGTTTCTAAAATTCTGGGAGGTGGGTCATAGAGGATCCTGCTGTGATTTATGTCGGAGAGTGTTTTGCCTATGTTCTCCTCTAGGAGTTTTATAGTTTCTGGTCTTACATTTAGATCTTTAATCCATCTTGAGTTTATTTTTGTGTATGGTGTTAGAAAGTGTTCTAGTTTCATTCTTTTACAGGTGGTTGACCAGTTTTCCCAGCACCACTTGTTAAAGAGGTTGTCTTTTTTCCATTGTATATCCTTGCCTCCTTTGTCAAAGATAAGGTGACCATAGGTTCGTGGATTTATCTCTGGGCTTTCTATTCTGTTCCATTGATCTATATTTCTGTCTTTGTGCCAGTACCATACTGTCTTGATGACTGTGGCTTTGTAGTATAGTCTGAAGTCAGGCAGATTGATTCCTCCAGTTCCATTCTTCTTTCTCAGGATTACTTTGGCTATTTGAGGTTTTTTGTATTTCCATACAAGTTGTGAAATTATTCGTTCTAGTTCTGTGAAAAATACTGTTGGTAGTTTGATAGGGATTGCGTTGAATCTGTAGATTGCTTTGGGTAGTATAGCCATTTTGACAATATTGATTCTTCCCATCCATGAACACGGTATATTTCTCCATCTGTTTGTGTCCTCTTTGATTTCTTTCATCAGTGTTTTATAGTTTTCTATGTATAGGTCTTTTGTTTCTTTAGGTAGATATACTCCTAAGTATTTTATTCTTTTTGTTGCAATGGTGAATGGTATTGTTTCCTTAATTTCTCTTTCTGTTTTCTCATAAAATTATTTTATAACAGGTTGGTAAATGGTTGCAGGCTATGTTCTTCTACCTGAAGCAGATCCCACGTTACCTTATCCCATGTTACTTTGATGCTATATTAATCGGTGCATACACCACTCTTCTGGATGTAGCATGGAAGCAAATGTCAAGGTATACCCAGCAAAGCTTGAGTAGATAGGCATGTTGGTGTAGAAGCCACATACAGTCAGTGTATACACTCTTAAAAAGACCAAAACATCAGGAATTGTCATGCATGCATAGAGCTGAAAAAGTTAATAAGTGGGAATAAAATGTATTAACATCCTTTAATCTGGAACATATAGAAACAAACTTAGATATTAAAATCTATTCTATAAAGCTAAAAAACATGTTGATGGGAAATTTTAATTGCTTGGTGTTATCTCTATTCCTCAAGTTGTTAAGTTAATGGATGAAATTTTTTAAATCTACACATACTATTTTTTTCTAATTTTTTATTAGTTAAGAGAAAAAATATTTTGCTATTGTTATAAATGAAATATGCCTTTATTAGCGATTTCCCTGAGATGAAACCACAGGCTGGAATGTACCAGTGAAGAGCAGCCAAGGCAATTTGGGCATAACTTCAGAAAGGATAAAACTTCAACTCTACCATATGTTTTACAATAAACATTTTAAAGCCAGCTAGATAGAATACTGGGTGAAATGAAAGCAGTTCTGAAACCTTAACCAAATTTAAAATTCTGTTTAACTGATTTTAGCATTGCTACACATTTGAATAGAGAAACTTTTTGAAGAGAAAAAAAGAACTAAAATAATACTGCTAAAATTTTTTGAATCAATAAGGCATAAAATTTCAGGTATGCAAGATGAGTAAGTTTTGAGATCTAACATACAGCGTTGTGGCTATAAATAACAATTTGTATTGTGCCCTTAAAAATCTGTTTTAAAAAGTAGTTTCTCAAATTAGGTGTTCTTACCCTAGTAAATTTTTTTGAATAAGTAATAAATTTTTTATTTCTACCCATAACACTTTGAACTCTATAACTTTGTTGCAGCTTTGTTCAGAATGGTTCTACCTTTGTGAAACACCTTTCCTTGGGTTCAGTCCAAATGTGTGGAGTAGGAAGATTCTCTTCTCTGCCACTTCTTTCACCTTCCCTTACGGATGTACCGTGCAGGCTGAATGAGATCACAAGAGAGAAGGAACAGTGTTGCGTGTCTCTTGCTGCAGGTAAGAAACTATGGGACAAGGTTAAAATGTGTCAGTCAGTATTAGGAAAATTATAAAGAAATGATTATTTTTAAAAATTCATGATGTTTTCCAGGATTTTATATTACTGATTAGTAAAATTTCACAGGCATACATTTATAAAAATAATAACGGTGCTATTTAGTATCACTGTGCTCCAGACATTTATTTATGTGCATTTTTTTTTCTTTTGGCCAGTTAATCCCTTTCTTCTGCATGTGTATTTTTTCCAACTTATAACATTTTGCATTTTTCAATCAAATCTGTTTTACTACCTTTCCCATTACATTCTACTTTTTTTCCACAATATAAAAAATTAACCCAACCTTGTAATTACCAAGAGATCATGTGGAGATCCTCTACAAGTTACAAAACACAAAACAAATGCTAAATAATTTTTATTATGTGTCTAATTGCAATTAAATGCTTCCAACTCCATTAGCATCTTTCCTGAAAGTGTATTTAAAACCCAAATCAAGTAACAGGTATAATTCTCAGCAAAATAGGCTTTTGGTTTCTTTTTAATAAATTTCAAGCTATTTCTAAAAAGTATTTAATATTTGAGTCCACTGAAGTTAAGAACTTCCAAACTAAACAGAAATACCAATTGCTGGATGAAAGTAACGGTATTGTTTATGTGATTGCCTCTGCTTACCCTTAAATTTGCATTTACTTAGACCAATAAAAATGACCTACTAGGACCAACAACTAAAAAAGAAATTAACATTTCACTTAGAAGGATTATATGAACCTTCTGAATGTTTTAATTATATAATTGTGTTTTAGATTTTCACTCAACTATTTGATATACTTCTGTACTTTCCCCTGTGAATCCATAGCAGATGGTCATAAAACTGAACAAGAACATTGTGGAAAAAATGCAGAAGCTGATTTTAAAGCCTATTGTTTAGAAGCCTATTATATAAAATAGTGATCTCAACATTTTTTATTATCCACTGCTGTTGTTAAACACTCCCAAAATGAATGTATTGAATATTGAGATCATAAATGATATACTCATATGTTAGTATACTTGGTATGTTTACATATCATGTACAATATAAAACAAAAAGAAAAACTAAAAATATAGTTTGTAAATATGGATAGAAGTTCTGGTATTTCTTTCTAGCATCCTAAAGGAGAGTTTTGTGTATTCCATACTAGCAATATATAGGACTGTATACGGATTTGCAGATAGATTTCTTGGTTTCATTTTTAAATGATACAAAGGCCACTTCCTTTTCTGACAGTGATACAAAATATGTGTATAATTATAAACTTTTACACTAATTGACAAGGTAGAAATTATTCAGAAGATGTGTGATCTATAAGTCATATATTCTGAAAGGTCAAAAAGTTAATATAGGGCTTCCCTGGGAATCTGCCTGCCAATGCAGGAGACACAGGTTCAATCCCTGGTCCAGGAAGATCCCACATGCCTCAAAGCAGCTAAGCCCATATGCCACAACTATTGAGCCTGTGCTCTAGAGCCCATGAGCCGCAACTACTGGAGCCCACATGCCCCGTAGCCCATGATCTGCAACAAGAGAAGCCACTGCAATGAGAAGCCCACACACCGCAACTAGAGAGTAGTCCCTGCTCGTTGCAACTAGAGAAAAGCCTGTGCAGCAACTGAAGACTCGGCACAGGCAAAAATAAAGTTAATTAATTAATTTTAAAAATGTTTTAGTGAATACAAATATTTTCACACAGCTATGCTAGAGGTTTTAGTTTTGACTTTTTAACAAGAGTGCCTGTGTTCAGGGCATACCAACTCAAACTTACCCTTGGATCTGTCTATACTTACATTTTATGCCAGGTGTTAAGTGGGTTAAAGTACTAGGAAATGTGTACAACACGGAGTACTATATATATACATATTCGCTGCTGTCTTCAGTACATCAACCATATTTATATCATCAACCATATTTATATATTTGTCATCAACCATATTTATAAACTGTATGTCAACCATGTATGTTGGTGCTCAGTTGCTCAGTAGTGTCTGACTCCGTGCCACCACACGGACTGTAGCCCACTAGGCTCCTCTGTCATGGAATTTTCCCGGCAAGAATACTAGAATGGGTTGCCATTTCCTTCTCCAGGGCATCTTCCTGACCCAGGGATCAAACCTGCATCTCCTGCTTGGCAGGCAGATTTTTACCACTATACCACCTGGGAAGTCTAACTGTGTATAAACAATATAAAAGTTTTTAGGGAAATTTTATACCACTATTTGGGAGAAAATAGAGAAAGAAATGTCTGATGTTATCTTTAGTTCTGATCTTTTCCTAACTGAAGAAGATAATGTCTTTCTCCAAGGTGAAGACCTAACAAACAGAAACTTTAATTGTGAAGTATTGCCAATATTTTGTCTTAGTCAAATTCTCTCACCTCTCAGTTTACCTTTTATAATTAATCTTTTATTTCATTCATCCAATACACTTTCATAGTGATATATACCAGTTAGAGTTTTCAGTGATATAACTTGGCAAATAAGTTTAATGAGGTTTCTGTTATCATGGGTCGTATTTTCTACTGAGGAGGAATGTATTTTCTACATTCATTCAACAAACCAGAAGACAAACAAGATAATGTCAGATAGTGTTAAGTGTTTAGAAAATAGTTATGAATGAATGCTGTGAACATTTTATTACCTGAGTTTTTCTTCCCTGAAATTTTTGTTACATTTATACTTTAGCAGTTTTTTTTTAAGTGAAATGCTAATTTCCTTTGCTTTATTTTCCTGGATTGTTACATATAACAATTGTATTTCTTTTCACATTTCATAAGAAACCAAACTCAATATAAAAGTAAAATTTTAGATTTTATCTATGGTCATTCTGTTTTACTTCCTGTATAAAGGCTGCAGTTACCTAAAGTTTTCAAGTGATTTAACATCTGAAATCCTTGTTTTCACCTGTAAAAGTTGTTTCTAACAAACTGTGACACTTTTAAGTGATTTTAAGTTAATGGAAAATTTGGTGATGAAGCAATAACCCTAGAGCGACAGACCAATAAACATGTAATTATTTGTCATTAAGGTAATCATCCCATGTTTAGATTAATTTGTTGCCTTCAAACTGCATGTAGAACCTTTTATAGTATATTATTATTACTATATTGAGTGTTTCTTCATGTGTTAAATATCTGACCTCTGATTTTAATCTTTAATTTGCTAAAAGAAAGTTTGTATTTAAAAATTCACACATTCTAACCAGTTCAAATAAGCATCATTCTATAGCACTGATTCTTAGTCTATTTTGAGTGACAGATTCCTTTAAGAATCAGATATGATTATGGAACCTCATCACACAAAAGTAGACATAAGAATAACCATACATTCTGCAGAATATTTTAAGAGAGTTTGAAGACTCTTTTCACCTCTTCCTTAACCCCAAAATTTAGAGCAGCTCATCTATAGTCGTGGAGTTCATAAGCTTGTGTGTACTGAGGTTAATAGATTACTCTGCTGTGTTTTCTGTTAGGCTTACCTCACTTCTCTGCTGGTATTTTCCGCTGCTGGGGAAGGGATACTTTTATTGCCCTTAGAGGTCTACTGCTGATTACTGGACGCTATTTGGAGGCCAGGTAGGAAATCTTTAAAAAGTTGCAATGCAAGTTTATGTCTGAGTGTTTTTCAGTGCTCTTCAGACCTTTCTTATTCATCTATTCTCAACATTTGGTAGGTAGGCATGTTTTCCTGAGGTGTGATTTTTATTTTATTTGTTGTGTGTTCATTTAATAGGATCATAGAATTTCAAAGGTGTGAAAATCTTTGAAGTTACCAAATTCTAATACTTCACATTATAGATCAGGTTATCTTCAGCATTTGCTACTTTATTTCAGGATGTTACAAACATCGCTCACTAAAGAGCAAAATGTCTGTGCCCGAATTAAGTATAAGAATGCAGATGACTTTTAGGTAAAATTGGAAAGTCTTCCATTTTTTGCTCTTCCATAATGACAGAGTCCTGTAGAGAGAATTATAATATCAGGTTGCCTTCTTTTTAGTGCAGACCTCATAACCTCCAGTTTTATGTTTTCTAGACTTAAAATGGTGTTCTCTGTGTACAGCACTACAAGTGCATTTATCAAAGGTAGAAAAGGAAGGCTCTACAGCGGTGTTGTATAGTGTTCCATAAATCATTATTGCCACCATCTGACCACTAGTTAGAAATGCAAATTCTTGGTCCCTGTGCAAAGTCCCTGAGTCCAAACCTAGAGGTGGAAAGGCAGAGTTGACAAATGGAAATCTGTGTTTTTGCAGGGGCTCCAAGTGATTTTTCAGTGGCCTAAGACTTAAGTTTGAAATCATTGCTCTACAAGTTAAAACCTGTAGCAAAAAAAGCATTTTAAAAAATATTTTTGATGCCACCTGTTTTGTATGACCTGTGAGTTAAGAATGGTTTTTACCTTTTTAAAGAATTATTGAAAGAAGAATGTATGATCACACTATTTAAGGCCAACAAAGCCTAAAATATTTGCGTCTGGCCTTTTACAGAAAAATAGTTTGCCTACCCCTAGTAAAGTAATTAGCCTCCAACTAATAAAAATAAATGAAAAAAAAAAAAAAGAAAGAAAAATAGTTTGCCTACCCCTGATCTAGAAGATTTCCCAGAAGATAATGCGTTTGTTAGAGTAGTGCTAACTACTATGAGTTATAAGCCATTAAATTTCAAGGGCTTTTCATAAACAAAGTTTATGATCTTCTGATCCTATATGGGTGTTCAAGAGGCAGTTTTCCACATGGTGGTTAAGGGATATAGCCTCCTTTATCTGCATGATATACAATCTTCCAGGACCTATGGGTTCTCTCTGGTCAGCTGGCAGAGAGGGAAAGAGAGCCTGGGGAAAACACTCCTGTTCCATGCAGTTAAATTTTTTTTTTCCTGGAGAATGCTGGGACATTTTTCCTGGGACATTTAGGAAAGCCATTTTGGTGGACATATGGCTGTCTCTACCACAGATAGTTCTGCTTCCACCCTCTGCAGAGATATTCATGGACAGAGGACTTTTTACTCAACTTCCATGTGTATGACATGTTCTGGATAATTAAGATTGCCAGTATTCTGACCTTTTATTAATTGGAAGTGTCACTCTCCACACTAACACTTTTGTACTGCAGAAAATAAAAAAGCTCGTTTTACACAATTATTTAAGAGAGAGGTATTACCTGATACACAGAATTAATTAAATTTCTAAATGGTTTCAGCAAAAAAAAAACTTTAAATGACTTTTCCAAGGTTATACAGATGGCAACACTAGGATTTAAATCTCAGCCTTCTTAATTCTCAGTTTCATGCTCTTTTTAGAATGCCATGCCATCTTACAAAGTTGTCATTTGGTATGATGGTAGAATAATATGTTGAAAGATAAAATATTCTCTACAAGTTTTTGAAAACTAATGTTTTTCAAGGTCAGTTTTTACCTTTAATTTTCTTATATGTTTGCTTTATTTTTGGTATCTGCCATTTAAGGTAATAAAATTCCTGTTCTTTTGAAATACTAGGGATTTCAAAAGTAAAACCTAGGGTTATGAGGGACCTTAAAAATCACCTGGTCACAGACTCCACAGATGAAAAAAACTCTCCCAGAGAATAGGTCATACAGGTTGTTAGAGAAAAAGGCAAGGCAATGATCAAGGTTCCTGACTTTTAATTCAGTGCTTATTCTATATTACAACCACTTTCTGCATGAAAATACAAAGAAATAAGAGAAAATAATAAAAAATAATGATCACCGAAAGTGACTTTTTTGCCTTTAGTTTTTTTAAGTGATTTTCATGTCAAACGATTCACCTAATTCTGTTGTTTTAGGAATATCATTTTAGCATTTGCTAGTACCCTGAGACACGGCCTCATTCCTAATCTCCTGGGTGAAGGAACTCACGCCAGATACAACTGCCGGGATGCTGTGTGGTGGTGGCTGCAGTGTGTTCAGGATTATTGTAAAATGGTTCCAAATGGTCTGGACATTCTCAACTGCCCAGTTTCCAGAATGTATCCTACAGATGACTCTGTTCCTTTGTCTGCCGGCACAGTGGTAAAGATCATTTCTTAAAATAATTTTTTCCTGAATAATGTTACTTTCTAATGTAAAAATACATGTAATTAAGAATCTGAGTCCTACAAATTCTTCAAATATTGGTATTTATTTAGCCCTGCTGCTGCTGTGAGAGACTGCAGAGATGATTTATTCTTTACCTAATGAGCTTGCAACACGGTAGGAGAGGTGATATGTATATATTACTAATACGATCATTGCAAAAAGAAATATATGGGAAGTGCCTCTTTTAGTCTCATAAAGAGAGATGATCTCGTAGTGGGTCTCAGGGAGGACTACATGACATAATTAAAATTTCACCTAAACTAACCATGAAAGGTGAGTAGGATTTCGTCCGAGATGAGGGAAATTATGCGAAGACATTAGAGATGAAAAGAATAACAAAAGCACAGGGTGGATTGGAGCACAGCTGAGAACATACTGCTCCATCTAGTGTTTGGCTTTTTGTGTAGGGCACCTGCCAAGTGGTAAGGGATTGTGGAGAGTGGGGGCCGGATTGTGGAGAGCCTTGGCTACCAATCCAGGGAGTTCAGAGTTTGTCTCATGTGCAGCGTGGAATGAATAAACGTTTGTGTATGTTTTTCTCCCCAGTCAAGAATGGACGGGATACTGTACTTTTGCCACATCTGATCTGCATTTACGTTACAGTTTACTTGGTGTGGCGGGCTTCTGGGCTACCTCAGGGCTAGACCTTGTTATCATGGAGTGTTTGAAGAACATTTGCCCCCAAATGTTTTAATGTACACATCTTACCATTTTAGTATATAATTTGTCCCCGTTGCTATGTATGTGGATGAATTGAAACAATGCCAGTTTAAAACTCGGACTTCTGTATAATAAGCTGGATTTGTTTATTAGCTGAACTGCTTACTCTAACAGATCACACAACTCACAAGATTCTTTTTCATGTATCAGCAGAATTATAGGTTATTTCATGTCACAGAAATTTATAGTTAAAACTACAATATGTTAAATGTTCACATGCGAAAGGTCTGCTGTATTATATGATGTATGATGGCCGCTTCTTTCCCCAGTCCCACCCCTAATCCCTATTTCTTCTTTTAAGGGAAAATACATGTTTTCACAAAACTTCAGCTGTAGAATTTGGAAGAAGATAAGAAAAATGTAATTTCTAACAGATGTAACATCCATGTCTCAAACAGGATCAACCATTGTTTGAAGTAATACAGGAAGCTATGCAAAGACACATGCAGGGCATACAGTTCCGAGAAAGGAATGCTGGTCCACAGATAGATCGGAACATGAAGGATGAAGGTACATAACTTTTTTTTTTTTTGGCCGCGCTGTATGGCATGTGGGATCCTAGTTCCTTGACCAGTGATTGAACCCTCACCCCCTGTAATAAGAGTGCAGAGTCTTAATGCTGGACCATCAGGGAAGTCCCATGAAGGTATATAACTTTAGGTACATAATAAATGATGAGATGAAATTAAACCTTGTAATTGTTCATTTATTCAACAAGTATTTTATTTGTATATAAAACTTCAGAATATAATAATGAAAAAGGTTAAGAGTTTCTGATCTTGCCAGCTTAGTTTTAGTTTCTGGAGGAAAGATAAAATTTTATATCCTTTGTCAGCCAACTTTGAAAACACCAAAAAGTAATTTGGTGCTTACACTTACAATCATAATAATAATTACTAATGATTGAGTGCTTACTATGTGCTAGGCATTGTGCTAACTACTTTACCTATGTTATTCTCATTGAACACTTCTAAGAACACTGGGGAAGAGTTTCATTGTTCCCGTTTTAATTGATAAGATGGCTGAAGCAGAGTAGCTTGCCCAGAGTCTACAGAACTGCTAAGTGGCAGAGCTAGGATTTCATCCATAGTTTGTCTGCCCTTGTAATTTGGGCTCTTATAAAGAGGTTTATTCAGAGTTAAAATCAATATACATTTTAACATCTTTGAAGTTCATCATATTCCAGTTTTAATGGCACATACTCATCATCATTAGCCAATGCAAGGCTAACAATTTATTTCATTTTATTACCCATTCCCCTTAGAGATATTCCAATGGGGTTTGTTGTATACTAATGTACTCTTAGGAAATACACATTTTTTTAAGCACATATAGTCTTTTTTTAACTTTTCAATTTTGAAAGAATTGGGGACTGATATAAAATTACAAAAATGATACATGAGTATCCTGAACCCTTCATCCATCTTCCCCCAGTGAGGACATCTTATGTAATTTTAGTGCAATATCATGATCAGGAGATAGATATCAGTATAATACTGTTAATTAACCTATAGAACATATTCCATGTTTACCAGTTTTACATTAACTCATTTGTGTGTGTGTGTGTGTGTGTGTACTTCTGTGCGGTTTTATCCCATGTATAACTTCATGTAACCACTGCCACAGTCAAGATATTATAGGACTATTCCATCACCACAGAGGTTTTTCTTGTGCTATCCTTTATAGGCACAGCGACCATCCTTGGTCTCTGGCAATTGCCAGTCTGTTCTACATCTCTGTAGTTTTGGCATTTTGAGAATGTAGGTAAATGCAATCATATAGTGTGTAACCTATAATATATATATAAACATAAGTTATATGTAGTATGTAACCTGTACTGTGTGTGTGTGTGTGTGTGTGTGTGTGTGTGTAGTTACATATAATTCCCCTTGAAAACCATCCACGTTGCTGCATATGTCAATATTGTATTACTTTTTACTGCTAAGTGGTATTCCCTTTTATGGATATATCATTCATCTTTTGAAGGACATTTGGATTGTTTTCATTCTTTTGACTAATACAAATAGAGTTGCTGTGAACATATACAGGTTTTTGTGTAAACTTAAGTTTTCAATTCTCTGGGAGAAATTCCCAATCAGTTCAGTTCAGTTCAGGCGCTCAGTCGTGTCCGGCTCTCCGCAGCCGCATGGACTGTAGCATGCCAGGGCTTCCTGTCCATCAACAACTCCTGGAGTTTATTCAAGCTCAGTCCATTGAGTCAGTGTTGCCATCCAACAACCTCATCCTCTGTCATCCCCTTCTCCTCCCACCTTCAATCTTTCCCAGCATCAGGGTTTTTTCCAGTGAGTCAGTTCTTCCCATCAGGTGGCCAAAGTATTAGAGTTTCACCTTTAGCATCAGTCCTTCCAATGAATATTCAGGACTGATTTACTTTAGGATGGACTGGTTGGAACTTCTTGCAGTCCAAGGGACTCTCAAGAGTCTTCTCCAACACCACAGTTCAAAGGCATTAATTTTTCGGTGCTCAGCTTTCTTTATAGTCCCACTCTCACATCCATACGTGACTCCTGGAAAAACCATAGCCTTGACTAGATGGATCTTTGTTTTTATGTAATGTCTCTGCTTTTTAATATGCTGTCTAGATTGGTCATAACTTTTCTTTCAAGGAGCAAGAGTCTTTTACATGGCTGCAATCACCATTTGCAGTGATTTTGGAGCCCAAAAGAGTAAAGTCTGTCACTGTTTCCACTGTTTCCCCATCTATTTGCCATGAAGTGATGTGACCAGATGCCATGATCTTAGTTTCCTGAATGTTGAGCTTCAAGCCAACTTTTTCATTTTCCTCTTTCACTTTCATTAAGAGGCTTTTTAGGTCTCCTTCGCTTTCTGCCATGAAGGTGGTGTCATCTGCATATCTGAGGTTATTGATATTTCTCCCATCTATCTAGATTCCAGCTTGTGCTTCATCCAGTCCAGTATATCTCATGATGTACTCTGCATATAAGTTAAATAAGCAGGGTGACAATATACAGCCTTGACGGACTCCTTTCCCTGTTTGGAACCACTCTGTTGTTCCATGCCCAGTTTTAAAGTTGCTTCCTGGCCTGCATACAGATTTCTCAAGAGGGAGGTAAGGTGGTCTGGTATTCCCATCTCTTTCAGAATTTTCCACAGTTTGTTGTGATCCACACAGTTAAAGGCTTTGGCATACTCAATAAAGTAGAAGTAGATGTTTTTCTGGAACTCTCTTGCTTTTTTGATGATCCAGCAGATGTTGGCAACTTGATCTGGTTCCACTGCCTTTTCTAAATCCAGCCTGAATATCTGGAAGTTCACAATTCACATACTGTTCCCAATAATGTGGGTCATATGGTATATACATGTTTTGTTTTATAAGAAATTGCCAGACTGTTTTCTGAATTGAAGAAAGTAGGGAAAACCACTAGACCCTAAATCAAATCCCTTAACGATTATACTTGGAAGTGACAAATAGATTCAAGGGATTAGATCTGATAGACAGAGTGCCTGAAGAACTATGGACAGAGATTTGTAGCATTGTTCAGGAGACAGGAATCAAGACCATCCCCGAAAAAAAGAAATGCAAAAAGGCAAAATGGTTGTCTGAGGAGGCCTTACAAATAGCTATGAAAAGAAGAGAAGTAAAAGGCAAAGGAAAAAAGGAAAGATATACTCATTTGAATGCAGAGTTCCAAAGAATAGCAAGGAGAGATAAGAAAGCCTTCCTCAGTGATCACTGCAAAGAAATAGGGGGAAACAATAGAATGGGAAAGACTAGAGATCTCTTGAAGAAAATCAGAGATACCAAAGGAACATTTCATGCAAAGATGAGTTCAATAAAGGACAGAACTGGTATGGACCTAACAGAAGCAGAAGATATTAAGAAGAGGTGGCAAGAACACACAGAAGAACTGTACAAAAAAGATCTTCATGACCCAGATAATCACAATGGTGTGATCACTCACCTAGAGCCAGACATCCTGGAATACGAAGTCAAGTGGGCTTTAGGAAGCATCACTATGAACAAAGCTAGTGGAGGAGATGGAATTTCAGTTGAGCTATTTCAAATCCTAAAAGATGATGCTGTGAAAGTGCTGCACTCAATATGCCAGCAAATTTGGAAAACTCAGCAGTGGCCACAGGACTGGAAAAGATCAGTTTTCATTCCAATCCCAAAGAAAGGCAATGCCAAAGAATGCACAAACTACCACACAGTTGCACTCATCTCACACACTAGTAAAGTAATACTCAAAATTCTCCAAGCCAGGCTTCAACAGTACATGAACCATGAACTTCCAGATGTTCAAGCTGGATTTAGATCAAATTGTCAGATGAAATCAACCAGAGATCAAATTGTCAACATCCATTGGATCATCGAAAAGAAAGAGAGTTCCAGAAAAGCATCTATTTCTGCTTTATTGACCGTGCCAAAGCCTTTGACTGTGTGGATCACAACAAACTGTGGAAAATTCTGCAAGAGGTGGGAATACCAGACCACCTGACCTGCCTCTTGAGAAATCTGTATGCGGGTCAAGAAGCAACAATTAGAACTGGACACAGAACAACAGACTGGTTCCAAACAGGGAAAGGAGTCCGTCAAGGCTGTATATTGTCACCCTGTTTATTTAACTTATGCAGAGTACATCATGAGATATACTGGACTGGATGAAGCACAAGCTGGAATCAAGATTCCTGGGAGAAATATCAGTAACCTCAGATATGCAGATGACACCACCCTTATGGCAAAAACAAAAAAGACCTAAAGAGCCTCTTGATGAAAATGAAAGAGGAAAATGAAAAAGTTGGCTTGAAGCTCAACATTCAGAAAACTAAGATCATGACATCTGGTCCCATCACTTCATGGAAAGTAAACAGTGACAGACTTTTTATTTTGGGGGGCTCCAAAATCACTGCAGATGGTGATTGCAACCATGAAATTAAAAGATGCTTGCTCCTTGGAAGAAAAGTTATGACCAACCTAGACCGCATATTAAGAAGCAGACACATTACTTTGCCAACAAAGATCCGTCTAGTCAAAGCTATGGTTTTTCCAGGAGTCATGTATGGATGTGAGAGTTGGACTAAAGAAAGCTGAGCACTGAAGAATTGATGCTTTTAAACTGTATTGAAGTTTAAATACAGTTGGAGAAGACTCTTAGAGAGGCCCTCGGGCAGCAAGGAGATCCAACCAGTCCATCCTAAAGTAAATCAGTCTTGAATATTCATTGGAAGGACTGATGCTGAAGCTGAAACTCCAGTACTTTGCCCACCTGACAGGAAGAACTGACTCACTGGAAAAGACCCTGATGCTGGGAAAGATTGAAGGCGGGAGGAGGAGGGGATGACAGAGGATGAGATGGTTGGATGGCATCATCGCTCAATGCACATGAGCTTGAGTAAACTTCGGGATTTGGTGATGGGCGGGGAGTCCTGGTGTGCTACAGTCCATGGGGTCACAAACAGTCAGACATGACTGAGTGATTGAACTGAACTGAGACTGTTTTCTAAAGTGGTTGTAACATTTTGCAATCCCACCAGCAAACTGAACAGATCATTTCTCCACATCCTTGCCAGAATTTGGTGTTTTGTTTGTTTGTTTGTTTTGTTTTTTAGCTATTCTGATAGTCATGTAAACCACTACATATTGTGTTTTTTATTTGCATTTTCCTATTAACAATATTGAACATCTGTTCATGTGCTTATTTACCATCCCTACCCCTTCTTTGATGATAAAACTGTGTTTTATCCCTTTTCTAATTGGATTGCTTGGATTTTTTTACTACTGAGTGTATGTGGTAAAATACATGTTTACCATTTTATCATAAATACATCATTTTAGCCTTCTTTAAGTGTACAGTGCAGTGACTTTTAAGTACATTCACACTGTTTTTCAACCATTACTGCTATCCATCTCCAGAACTTTTTCATCATCCCAAACTGAAACTCTTACCCAGCTAACAGTAATTCCTCAATCTCTCCTTCCCTCAGTTCCTGGTCATTGCTAATCTGTTTTCTGTCTCTGTGAATTTGATTATTCTTGGTACCTCAAATAAATGGAATTACATCATTTTTGTCCTTTTATGTCTGGCTTATTTCAGTTAACATCGGTATATCAGAGCTATATATACTATACTTTTATGCCCTTTGTTTCAACATTACCACATTCTTTTCCAGAATTACTGCACCAGTATCTATTCCCATTACCAACCAAAGTGGCTTCTTATGTACCCCCATGCCTACCAACGTCATTTGGCATTATCCTCTAATGCTGAATACGGTTATGAAACCATATGTAGTTGTTTTTACTTGTAATTCTCCTGTTATTGAATTTGAATATTTTCTCATATGTATATTGCGTCTTTGGAAAGTTTCCTTTTCTATAAACTGTTTGTTCCTGTTCTGTACCTTTATTCATCTTTCTTTTGGCATTCTGATATTTTTCATGTTGTTTACCAGGAGTTTTTGGTTTACTCTAGGTGCTTGTCCATCATTAATGTTAGAATTATACACACCTTTTCCCAATTTATCTATCGTGTCCTTCAACATATTTTATTTCAGAAATCCTGCCCTACCTTCATATCACAAAGATAATCTCTCATATTGACTTTTATTAACTGTGTATGGTTTTGCCTTTTTCCAAATATTTTTTTAAAGAAACAATTTATTCCATTTTAATCCATTCTGTTTTTGTTCCTGTGATTCTTATTTTTATGACCTATATCTATTAATTTTTCATGTCTGTACTCATTTCCTTGTTAAAATCTATAATGATCCCTAACAGATTAAGTAATTTAGTGTATGCACCTCTCCCCCAATCCATGTTTGATATTATCTAGATGAAATTTCAGTTTGAATTGTTGTGACTATTCTTTTTCTTTTCCTTGGTTATTGCTATTTTTAGGCAACAATAAGCTTTGATGTATAATTTGATCATCTTTTCATCTCCTGTCTGTTACTATATCCTCCAAGATTTCTTTCTTTCCTTATTAGATTTAATCAAATAAGCTTATTTATTTATGTTAATATATGAAAACCTCTCAGAACAATTCCTACTACTACAGCATCTTGCTGTAGTTATTTTTATTGTTGCTATATGAGTATTTTTAAAGTTGTAATTTACATGTCAGACACAACTTACCAACTGAACAACAACAATTTACATGTCAAACCCACCAAGGCCTTGAATGACTGGCAGTATTTTTATTATGCCCTCATATTTAAATGACAGATTAGACACAAATGCTTGTTTCCTTCAGTGCTTTAGAAAATATCATTCTGTTGATGTCTTACTTCTAGTATCGCTATTGAAAGTCTTATGGACCTATACCTCATTCTATTAGAAGTGATTACTCTTTCTTTTTTGAAGTTTTAGAACCATCTGTTTGTCTTAATTTGGGATTTTACACTAACTTTTCTTATCTGTTTCATGTGGTCCTCTATGAGCCCTTTTAATCTGAGATTTACTATTTCTTTTCACTTTCTGGGGTTACTTTTGTCTGGGTATCTTCTTGTTTATTTCTATCCCCATAGCTTTTCTTCTGTTGTCTGCCTTTAACCACTCCTGCTGCCTCTGGAGAATTTTTCCATCTTGTCTTCCATCTCACTAATTTCACTGTTAGCTATATCCATCTACTGTTTAGTCCCTTTATTATCACTTTATTGTTTTCCTTATTTCAACTATTAAAAATTCCAGGCCTAACATCTCCACTTAGTCATTTTTAATGTCTTTTGTTCCTACTTCATGTTAATAATATCTTGCTTATGTTTGAGGGTATTTTTTTTGCTTATTGTGTGCTATTGATACAGTAATTCTGCTTCATGTGAAGTATGTTACTCCTCTCTCTCATCTAGTTATTAGACTCCTCTGCTATGGAAGGTTTGTCTTTTCCCAATAAGCTCATATTCCATTGATTATTAGTTCTCTGTAGCAGTCTTCTTAAGTTGTAAAACAACAGCTTTAAGAGCCAAGGTAAAATAAAAGTCCAAAGAGGCTGGTCACATCTCACCTGTTTTCATTACTTTGTCCCAAACATTATGTGAGTTCACATCAGTACCTCGCACGTACTTCTCTGTAGTTTCTCCAGGGTTGATTATGGAAAGGGCACCAATAGCCTGGAATACTTTGGCAGCTCATCAGGAAGTGCGAAGATAGATTTTCTACTCACTTTATGCATCTGAAACAACCTATTCATTCATAGTCATTTTGACCTATGTACCTTTTTGTGTGCATTCTTTTGACTTCGTGGCCAAATCACTGAGATTTAGTCACTAAACATTGACTGTCCAGTTATTTAGTATCAAGTAAATTAAAAAGCTCTTTGCTTTTGTGTATCACTTGACAAACATTTTCCAAAAACTAGTACCTCCATTCCTAGCTCATAATAGAGGAAATAGGAAAGGAGGTAAAAGTAGATTGCCCAAGGAGGTGCATCAACCATCCATTAATAAACATAAAGGAAGCATTCAATCTCACCAGTACTCAAACAGATTTATATTAAAGTAGATCACTGTATATATATATACACCACGTCTTCTTTATTCATTCATCTGCTGGTGGACATTTAGGTTGTTTTCATGTCTTGGCTATTGTAAATAGTGCTGCCATGAATATTAGGGTATCTTCTTGAATTGAATGTATGTATCTTCTTGAATTACAGTTTTCATCTTTTCTTGGATATATGTCCAGGAGTGAAATTACTGGATCATATAGTAGCTCTGTTTTTAGTTTTTTAAGGAATTTTCATACTGAAATGAGCCAGTGAGCAGTTTTGAACATGAATGACATCACCTATCTTGTGTATTAAAAATATAGTGGCTGCACCAATTTACTTTCCCACCAATATGGTACATGGGTACCCTTTTATCCACATCCTCTCCAACATTTGTTATTTGTAGACTTTTTGATGATAGCCATTCTGGCAGGTATAACATAGTACTTCATTGTAGTTTTGATTTGCACATCTTCAACTTTTAAGGTATTACCAAACTGATCTCCAGAGTAGTTTTCCTAATTTATTATATTCCTTTTAAATTTTATAAATGGTTTTTTTTTTATTTTCAGGTTTTAATATTACTGCAGGGGTTGATGAAGAAACAGGATTTGTTTATGGAGGAAATCGCTTCAATTGCGGTACATGGATGGATAAAATGGGAGAAAGTGACAGAGCTAGAAACAAAGGAATCCCAGCCACTCCAAGGTAGTGTTTATTTATAGCGTTTATATAATTATATCATTTGTAAAGTGATATACTTGTGGAATCTTTTATTCTATTAACCACGAAGTGTTCTTGGTAAATCAGTCAAAATTTTGCTTCCTTCCTCCCACTTATCTTCCACTTACTCCTTTCTCTCCCCCAGTATATACATGTACAATCCTCTTGATATGTCATCAAGTAAAACTATCTGTTCTCTTCTGGATGTTCTCATGGATTGATTCCCTACAAGCACCTCAAAGGAAAGTTTTATGATTCATTATCCCCATGATTAAAACATTTCTTTATAACCTGAAGTATTTTCACTGTTATAAATAATTCATTATTATTATCTCTTGTAAATACAGAAAACAACCAGTTGTCCTATCTTTTGTGAAATCCTTTCACTTTCTAAATATTTTCCCCTTAATGTTTTAATCTTTTATCTCATCATTTCTTTTTATTATTTTAAGTTCTTACTACAGTATCAAGTCTAAGAAACTATTTTCTTATCTAAATTTTATCTTCAATCAGAAATGTCAAAAAAATTGTTAAATAGAAGCTGTCATTATGTATTTTGCATGTTCTTTTTAAAAACATATTTATTTTGATGAATTATTAGATCTTGAACTTCTGTTTCCTTTTCCTTAAAAATGAGGAAAATTTTTACTTCTGCCTTTTTCCAGAAGCTATCTCCTTTTACTCCATAGTCTGTATTCTACTTCATATAATTTTTTAAAAATAAGATGCTAAGCAATCCAAAAGTAATAAAAGGAGAAATTTCTTATATATGCCACACACTTCCTATAAAGTAAGGATTTTTATAGTAATTTTTATAATACATTAGTTATATAATTCTTCAAAATTATTTTTTGAATGCCCTTTAAATAGTGCTTAAATTACTCATTGTCACAGAATAAAATTTATTTTTAATTTTAGAGATGGATCTGCTGTGGAAATTGTGGGCCTGAGTAAATCTGCTGTTCGTTGGTTGCTGGAATTATCCCAAAAAAATATTTTTCCTTATCATTATGTTACAGTGAAAAGACATGGTAAGCTATTTCTTTTGTTTGCAAAGTCCAATGACTGTCTATATGCTTAATCTACATAATCATTATGTGACTTAATGAACTAGCATTAGAAAACCCTTAAGATTAAAAGGAAAGACAGTTCAGTTCAGTTCAGTCGCTCAGTCGTGTCCGAGTCTTTGCGACCCCATGAATCACAGCACGCCAGGCCTCCCTGTCCATCACCAACTCCCGGAGCTTACTCAAACTCATGCCCATCGAGTTGGTGATGATATCCAGCCATCTCATCCTCTGTTGTCCCCTTCTCCTCCTCCCCCCAGGCCCTCCCAGCATCAGGGTCTTTTCCAGTGAGTCAACTCTTCGCTTGAGGTGGCCAAAGTACTGGAGTTCCATTAAGTTACTAGTATGAAAATTGTAACAAACCTGATTACCAACTATATTTTTATAGCAACTTTGAACTGACATATGAATAGCATCATACTTATTTTTTTTCCTTGATATGATATGACTATGATCAGGTCAAGTTTTGGTGAATAATTATGAAATTTTACATCTCTTTTTTTCTGGAACAGTGCTGTCCAATAAAAATATAATTTAAGCCACATACATAATTTAAAATTTTCTAGTACCTACATTTTAAAAAGTTAAACAGGTAAAATTAATTAATGAGTATATTTTCATTAACTCAGTATATACGAAAGATTATTTCAACATGTAATCACTGTGAAATTATTCACGACTATTTTACATTCTTTTGAGGGGTACTGTGTCTTAGAAATACAGTATATATTTTATACTTCTAGCACCTCTCAATTCAGACTAGCCTCCTTTCAAGTGCTCAATAAAGATAATTTTATCAACAGTAAGAGTGACCCAAACAAAGACAAATGATCTGGGATCATTTGTGGGGTCTAATCCTTTTTCAGTAATACAGTGAAAGATAATTTTTTATTTCTGGCTAGTGTCCTTCAAAAGACCCTGGCACTTTCCAAAAAAGTGTATAATTTATTGACTAAATATTACTCTTCAGCTTTAACTAAATGTATGAGTTTCTCTTAATGCTTAAAACTACCAGGTCTTTTATAATGTTTCAGGAAAGCTTGTGAGAGTCTCATATGATGAATGGAACAGAAAAATACAAGAGAACTTTGAAAAGTTATTTTATGTGTCAGAAGACCCTGCAGATGTCAATGAAAAGCACCCTAATCTGGTACACAAGCGGGGCATATACAAAGACAGTTATGGAGCATCAAGCCCATGGTGTGACTACCAGCTTAGGCCTAACTTTACCATAGCAATGGTTGTGGTGAGTAATTTGCTTTGTTCTTTTCAAATTTCAAAAATGTCATGATAGTGTTTATTTAGTTCTTTATTCTCATTTGTTCTCAAATTCATTGAATTGTTAAAAAGTGAGTTACTTACTAGCTAGTTTTATATGGTCTTTTCTCACGTCCAAGTACTAACCAGGCCCTACTGGCTAGTACTCTACTAACAACTCTACTCAGCTTCCGAGATCAGAGGATATCGAGCACGTTCAGAGTGGTATAGCCATAGATTATATGATCTTTTCTGATGAATAAAGCATAACACCCTTTACTATAACAGTTGATGTCAAAAAATAGAAAATAATGGGTGATGACTAATGAAGTTCTTCTCAATGTTTTTATGTCATAACACATAGAAAATGATGATTTTTAAAAAAGGAAAATGATGATGTTTGTACAGCACACTGGGCGAAATGGATTAGGTGCTGCCAGACCCACCCGCTTCTTTGAGCCCCAGACCCCACCCAGCTGTGGGGAAAGCTGCGGGCCTCTGTTTCTCAGCACACCTGTGCCATGCCTCAGCTCACTGTTGGAAACATCTGGACTAATGAACTAATATGAGTAGCTTCAATTCACATTCTGCCTTTTGCTGCTATTGTATTGCTCTAATTAGTTCTGTCTACTCAAGAATGCTTGACTCTCCTTTTTTATCTATACTTTAGTCTCAAAATACAGTACAGTAAAACAGAGAAGGTATGTGTTCAACATCGGTGTCCAGGTGTCGCCACCTTGTCAAAAAGAGTATTAACTATTGTATTATTAATTATAGTAGAATAAAAAATACAAAAGTACATAAAGCTAGCTTTGGTTCAGTGTGCATTGATTTTATTTAACGTTTAAATTTAATGTGGATTTTTAGTCACTTAGTCATCTTTCTCTCCTTCTCCATATCACAAGTAAATGTACTCATGCTATTCCAGTGCATATCCTTCTGTGTTTCATTATGACACTAAAAGCAAAAAATGAGTTCCAGGTGAACTTAAAGGAAGATAATGTAAATCTTATGTTCTGCCTTCATTGGCAGTATGGCAACTTCCTTTTGGAACTAGTAAACTTTCTTAAAGTGACACAAGGAAACAATCACCCCAAACAGCTTCCCTACCCTCTAAAGCCAGGGTCAGTGCTTCCAAGTCAGCCTGATAGAATTAGGTCTGATTAGACATCTACGCTTGATCTTCTGGACCTGCGCTGTATTTTTTAAGTTTTCATTATTTCCCAAGTTTATAGTTTTTTTTTCTAGTGTGGGTAGACACTTCTGTGATCTCAAAAAGTTTGTATATTTGTTTTTGACACTCATTAGGCCCCTGAGCTCTTTACGACCCAAAAAGCATGGAAGGCTTTGGAGATTGCAGAAAAAAAATTGCTTGGTCCTCTTGGCATGAAAACTTTGGATCCAGAGTAAGTTAAAAAGTATTAGGAATGTAGTTCATATTATATTTAATATAAAATTATATTTAATTATATTAATAGCGGCATGAAAACTGTGAGTTCAGAGTAAGTCGAAATGTGGGTGTTAAGAATGGTGTTATTTTATTTCATCAGGTCATAATTTTTTTGCTTATCAGTTAAATGTCTAAAGTTGCATTCAAACTGAATTTTTAGAAAGGCCTCTGTCTTCATTAAGAGGCTCCCCTGGTGGCTCAGTGGTAAACAGCCACCTGCCAATGCAGGGGATGTGAGCCCCGATCCCTGGGTCAGGAAGATCCCCTGGAGAAGGACACCAGCCCACTCCAGTATTCTTGGCTGGAGAATCCCATGGCCAGAGGAGCCTGGAGGGCTACAGTCCATGGGGTTGCAAAGAGTCAGACACGACTTAGCATCTAAACAGCAACAATATCTTCAATAATCGTCAGGGTTCAAAGTGGGCTTGTCCTAAATTCAATCATCAATAAAAGAATTTTAATTTTATAAAACTAAGATGTCATATGAATATTTTCTAATGCTTATTTTTTCTGATCATAAAAGTCATATATGATGATTATGAACATTGGAGGCATAGATTTATTGTTTCCTCAGAAACAATATTTATTTTAGAAGTTGTTACTCCTAGTAGTTCCTCCTATAATTCTAAATAGTATGTGTTTGTAGCTATTTCTTGACTCCTTTAAATATTAGATGTTATTTGCTTACTTCTTGTGATGACAGATCACATCACTTCTTTTGATGGTAGATTTTACTGTGTCATTACCTCGCCCTGAACCCTTTCCATTTTCTCTAAATAATTACATCACTGTTTTTATTTAAGCCAATAAGTAATTTTGTTTTTATGATTAAATGTTTATCTCATTTTGCATTTCTTTCCCAATTTTTATTTTTTCTTGAGTTTATAATGATGTTTCTATTTTTCTTCTACTGTTTTGCTTTAAAATTGGATGCCCATCATCATTTGCCTTCTGTTTCATATGTGAGAGATCCCCATTTTGTTGTAGCCTTACCTTTGTAGATTTTTCCTAACATATTGTTTACTCATTTCACTCTTGAGATGCAAAATTTTATATGTGTGAACTTATCTGCTTTCTAAAGTATTCTCAGTGTTTTCAGAGGTGGTAAGAACCACTGGTCAGAACAAAAACCCATAGAAAAAAACATACTTATGTGATAAGGTCTATCTATCTCACTAAAAGAAAAAAAGCAATAGTTTAATTAAAGAGAGTATAGATGACTATCTTGTATTAAATATTGCAGTGTTTATAACTGTTTAGTTTGTAAATATATGTAAATTATATTCAGTTGCTATTTATAATCTGGTAATCTACCAATTTTACTTAATTTTAAGATAACTTAATGGAGAAGTTTAAAAAACAGCCTTTCTGATATATAATAATTAAAAACTTTATCATTAATGTTTACTAATTCAAATTATTATGTGTATATTTTAATTGTTTTAAGTATATTAGGGGCTTCCCTTGTGGCTCAGATGGTAAGGAATCCACCTGCAATGCAGGAAACCCAGGTTCAATCCCTGGGTCGAGAGGATAATGCTAGAGAAGGGAATGGTTACCCATTCCAGTATTCTTGCCTAGAGAATTCCATGGACAGAGGAGCCTGGCGGGCTACAGTCCATGGGGTTGCAAAGAGTCGACTACAACTAAGTGAGGAAGCACAAGTGAAATAATTAACTTTAACCAATATTTAGTGTCTCTTTGAAAGCAAGATATCTGAATATTTTACATTTTTTGTATTAGGTATTAAGCATTTGTTAATCATCCCCTAACACATTCTGAACTCAGTATATACTAATTTAGGGTTAGGTGGATGATGAGCTTTAGACTACAGATTGGAAGATAAAAGAATTTTATTATTTCTTACCTTTTCCATTAGGAAATTTTTCTGATGCTTTTTATATAATGTCTGATCTTTTTTTAACCTAAATTTCAATCATTTTGCAGTGATATGGTTTACTGTGGAACTTATGACAATGCCTTAGACAATGACAACTATAATCTTGCTAAAGGTTTCAATTATCACCAAGGACCTGTAAGAATTTCTCTTTATTTCTTTGAGTTTTTAATTTGCTATTTTTCAAAGAATTTTAGATATTCACAGCTCTTTTCTCTTCGTTTTTATATTTTCCAGGAGTGGCTATGGCCTATTGGGTATTTTCTTCGTGCAAAATTGTACTTTTCCAGATTGATGGGTCCGGAGACGACTGCAAAAACTATATTTTTGGTTAAAAATGTCCTTTCTCGACATTATGTTCATCTTGAGAGGTAAATCATCAGAGCATGTAATTTCTGAAATTAGTGTTTAGTGTTTAGACTTAAATTGAAGAAAGCAAGGGAAACCACTAGACCATTCAGGTATAACCTAAATCAAATCCCTTACAATTATACAGTGGAAGTGACAAATAGATTCAAGGGATTAGATCTGATAGACAGAGTGCCTGATGAACTATGGACGGAGGTTCATGACATTGTACAGGAGACAGCGATCAAGACCGTCCCCAAGAAAAAGAAATGCAAAAAAGCAAAATGGTTGTCTGAGGAGGCCTTACAAATAGCTGTGAAAAGAAGAGAAGTAAAAGGCAAAAGAGAAAAGGAAAGATATACACATTTGAATGCAGAGTTCCAAAGAACAGCAAGGAAAGATAAGAAAGCCTTCCTCAGTGATCAGTACAAAGAAATAGAGGAGATCTCTTCAAGAAAATTAGAGATACCAAAGGAATATTTCATACAAAGATGTGCACAATAAAGGACAGAACTGGTATGGACCTAACAGAAGCAGCAGATATTAAGAAGAGGTGTCAAAAATACACAGAAGAACTATACAAAAAAGATGTTCATGACCCAGATACTCACGATGGTGTGACCACTCACCTAGAACCAGACATCCTGCAATATGAAGTCAAGTGGGCCTCAGAAAGCATCACTATGAACAAAGCTAGTGGAGGTGATGGAATTCCAGTTGAGCTATTTCAAATCCTAAAGGATGATGCTGTGAAAGTGCTGCACTCAATATGCCAGCAAATTTGGAAAACTCAGCAGTGGCTTCAGGACTCGGAAAGGTCAGTTATCATTCCAATCCCAAAGAAAAGCTATGCCAAAGAATACTCAAACTACCACCCAGTTGCACTTATCTCACACACTAGTAAAGTAATGCTCAAAATTCTCCAAGCCAGGCTTCAATTGTACGTGAACGGTGAAATCCCAGATGTTCAAGCTGGATTTAGAAAAGGCAGAGGAACCAGAGATCAAGTTGCCAACATACATTGGATCATCAAAAAAGCAAGAGAGTTCCACAAAAACGTCTACTTCTGCTTTAATGACTGTGCAAAAGCTTTTGACTGTGTGGATCACAACAAACTGTGGAAAATTATGAAAGGGATGGGAATACCAGACTACCTGACCTGCCTCTTGAAATATCAATAACCTCAGATATGCAGGTGACACTACCCTTATCACAGAAAGTGAAGAAGACTTAAAGAGCCTCTTGATGAAAGTGAAAGAGGAGAGTGAAAAAGTTGGCTTTAAGCTCAACATTCAGAAAAGTAAGATCATGTCATCTGGTCCCATCACTTCATGGCAAGTAGATGGGGAAGCAGTGGAGACAGTGACAGACTTTATTTTGGGGGGCTCCAAAATCACTGCAGATGGTGACTGCAGCCATGAAATTAAAAGACACTTGCCCCTTGGAAGGAAAGTTATGACCAACCTAGACCACATATTAAAAAGCAGAGACATTACTTTGCCAACAAATATCTGTCTAGTCAAAACTATGGTTTTTCCAGTAGTCATGTATGGATGTGCTGCTACTGCTGCTAAGTCACTTCAGTCATGTCTGACTCTGTATGACCCCGTAGACGTCAGCCCACCAGGCTCCCCCATCCCTAGGATTCTCCAGGCAAGAACACTGGTGTGGGTTGCCATTTCCTTCTCCAATGCATGAAAGTATGGATGTGAGAGTTGGACTATAAGGAAAGCTGAGCACCGAAGAATTGATGCTTTTGAACTGTGGTGTTGGAGAAGACTCTTGAGAGTTCCTTGCACTGCACAGAGATCCAACCAGTCCACCTTAAAAGAAATCAGTCCTGAATAGTCATTGGAAGGACTAATTCTGAAGCTGAAACCCCAACACTTTGGCCACCTGATGCAAAGAACTGACTCATTTGAAAAGTCCCTGATGCTGGGAAAGATTGAAGGTGGGAGCAGAAGGGGACAACAGATGAGATGGTTGGATGTCATCACTGACTGAATGAACATGCATTTGAGTAAACTCCAGTAGTTGGTAATGAACAGGGAGGCCTCTCGTGCTGCAGTCCATGGGATCGCAGAGTCAGACACCACTGAGCAACTGAACTGAACTGAGTGTTTAGTCAATTTATTAGCTATTAAGTAAATGGCTTTTCCATAGAATTCATTTCTGTATATTCTATGTATCACAATGAAATTTAAGAGTTGCACTCTTTAACACACGTTCAATATAATTTTCACCTTATTTTAATTATTTAAATTGTTATTTAAACACTTGATATTGCATGATTTGTATATGTGATGGAATAACCTTTGGTTTTTTTTAATTTTTCTAATATTTTTTTATATGGTTAGTACAGGATACATACAAAAACTAAAGGTCTCAGGCTTGGCCTTTTGAGTTCACCTATTTGGAGATATAGTGATAAATATTTTTATAAATGGTTTTATAATATTATAATTAAAATATCAGTGTTGGTGTTTTGACTATTACAAACCCATTTGTCATATCCTTTGTCTGAACTATTAGCAGATAAATAGTATCAGAGTTATGTGCCTTTTTAAGATGATATAACTCGGTCAAAAGCTGTCTTAATTTTACAAATTCTAGATTACTCCTAGATATATGTACATCTTATATGATGTATATATATCATATTTATAATATGCATGAGCAACATATATTTTATCTCCTCTACTACAGGAACACTTGGGGCTTCCATCTATCGCCATGAATGTTGTCAAAGTTTTTTTTTCAAAGTTTATTTTCACCAGCTTAAATACAGTCCAGAAACCTTAGCCCTGTCACACTTCTGCCTCATCCAGAGATTAAGTCTGAAGTCTTTGTAATGTAAACATTCTTGTGTTCTGACCTTTATTGCATGACAGTATTTCCCAATATTTGCATTACTTTTGTTTCTTCCCTTTTTTCCATGAGGAGTAAGAATCTCTTGCACTGAAGAGATGGTTTTTCTACTTTGCCTATAATCTCATCCCTCCTACCTGTTCCACGTCCTGGTCAAATCATTATCCTTACTTGGTTTTCCACTTGATCCTTCCTTCCTAAGCTATGAAGATACCTGTCAGCCTACCCTGAAACAAAGTCCCTTCATAATGTTCCTACCTCAAGCTTTGTTTTATCATTCTGTTTTCTTTCCAGGATCCACATTTTCTATAGAATTAGTTTTTTTGTTTGTTTGCTTGCTTTCTGATGCAACTCAGTTGTCACCACATGCAAGCTAGCTTTTGTTTTGCCCTCACCATTCTGGTGAAGCCACTCAAGAAGATTCTGTCTGGTTCCCAGATCCTGTGACTTCTTCTCAGTTCTCTTCTTTGACTGGCTATATTGTTGCTTTCCTCTTTTCATGAAAAACCTATGCTAGCCATAGCATTAAATTTCCCTTGATAACCTAGTAACAGTAACAATTATAATAATAGCAAATAATATTTATTGAATACTTAGTATCTTCATTGTTCTAAATGCACTCATATAACATTACTCATTTCATCCAAAAAGCTATATAAGATAGCTCCTATTACTGTTTTCCGAGTGTGTCGCATCTCCCCTTATTAGCTGCATGGTTGTGGGCAAGTTATTTAACTTCTCTAAGCCTCTGTTTCCTCATCTATTTAAGGTATGTACTGGTGTTGTTTTGAGGATTAATTTATTAGTACACGTAACATGGACAAGATACTAACTCAGATATGAGCTACTATCTCCATTTTATAATGTAAGCTTAGAAAGTTAAGTAATTTATACACAGTCAAATGGCAAGTAATTTGGAAGAGCTCTTACTAAACTCCAGGCAATATGGTTTCACGGACTGTGCCCTTAACCACTACATGATTGGCTCTATTTGCTGTTTTTCTGTCTTTGCTTTCTGGAACCTAAAAACACATTCATTCTCAAAAAAAAATCTATCCTTGATCTTCGTTTCTTTTCTGTCTACCTTGTCTTCTGTTATATTTCACCTAGTCTCACATCTTCACTCTTTAGGTAATTTTGAACTTTCATAAACTCCTCTTCTACTTTTCAACTACTTAATAAACTTTTTACCTTGGATGTCCTTCTGCCATCACTCATTTTCTCTCACAGTTTTTTTCTTCCTATGCTTCCCATCTTTGTTATAGTATTACCATTATTCATGGTCTGTAAACTCAGGCACCCCAGGTACTTTTTAACTTTACTTCATTACCTCTCCAGAACATCCAGATAGTTGTCAAGACTTGATTCTAGCTCTCTTCCTTTTAATAACCCACCATCTTCCTTTCTTTTGCCCGTGCCTAGTCTGTAACTCATAACGTTTTCTCTGGACTAGGCAGTCAGCCTCCAGACTTCCACTCTTCTCTCTCCATTTTGTCATATCACCCCAAACAAGCTCAATCTTGTTGACATGTAACTCTCACAATTTTAATCTTATGTTTAAAAATCTTTAGCAATTCCCCATTGGTTACAAAAATGAAATCCGAATTCCTTAGTTTCCACAATTTTTTCTCCAACTACCTTTCCATTTTTATTTCTTACTGTTTCCTATAGCTACTTTTATTACCATTAGCTTTAACTATGAGCTTTGGATTCAAATTCTGTCCTTGCTGCTAATTTTCATGTGCGACTTTCAGCAAATTACTTAATGTCTCTGAAATAAATTTCTTCATCTATAAAATGGGAATAATAATATCTCATTACTTGTTGTCAAGATTAAATGAAAAGATAGATCAAAAATATTTGCCACAAATCAAGAAATGGTTTCACCTAAAGTACATTATTACTTTTTAAATTTTCTATAGAATCTGTAATAATGTCAGTATTCTCATTCTTGATGTTGATAAGTTGTATTTTCCCTTTTTTTTTCCTGATCTGTCTGACTAGAGGCTTATCAATTTTATTGGTCTTCTTAAAGAACCAGCTTTTGAGTTTGTCAATTTTTTTTCATATTATTCAGTTTTTAGTTCATTGATTTCTATGCTAATTTTTATTATTCTCTTCTACTTACTTTAGGTTTATTTTCTTTTTCTGTTTTTTTCAAGGTGTAAGTTGAGGTCACTGATCTAAAGACTTCTTCTTTTCTAGTATAGGTACTTAGTGCTAAATTTCCTTCTATGTACTAAATTAACAATACCCCAAAATTCTGATGTGTTATGTTTTTTAATTCAGTTGAAAATACTTTTGGTTTTTCCCTTTAGCTTCTTCTTTGACTCATAGGTTATTTATAAAGGTGTTATTTAGTTTTAAAATATTTAGGAATTTTCCAGAGATGTTTCTATAACTGATTTCAAAGTTAATTCTATTGTGGTCAAAAAATGTATTTTATATGACTAATCTTTCTAAACTTATTGATACTTATTTTGTAACTCAAAATATGTTCTAACTAGGTCACTAAACTGCAAGTAAAATAGTGTGCCTTCTGTTATCATTGGATGGTGGTGTGGTTTATTTGCTAAGCTATGTCTGACTCCTGCGACCCCATGGACTATAGCCCCGCCAGGCTCCTCTGTCCATGGGATTCTCCAGGCAAGAATACTGGAGTGGATTGCCATTTCCTTCTCCAAGGGATCTTCCCAACCCACAGATCGAACCCAGGTGTCCTGTGTTGCAGGCAGTCTTTACCAACTGAGCTACAAGGGAAGCCACGACATTGGATGGGGTGTTCTTAAAATGTCAACTAGGTGGATGAGCGTTAGTCACTCAGTTGTGTCTGATTCTGTGATCCCATGGACTATAGCCCTCTGGGCTCCTCTGTCCATGGAATTTTTCAGGCAGGAATAATGGAGTGGGTTGCCATTTCCTTCTCCAGGGGATCTTCCTGACCCAATGATCAAACCCCAGTCTCCTGCATTGCAGGCTAGTGTTGCACAAAATACTTGCAGATTTTCTGTCTACTTGTACTGTGAGTTACCTAGAAAGGTAACATTTTATTTTACAATTATGGATTTGCCTCTTTCTCCTTGAAGTTCTATGTGTTTCTATTCTAGAAGAATAGTCATGATACCTACCTCATAGGGTTGCCGTGAGTATTAACTGAGATAATGTACGTAAAGCACTAGTATTAGAACATAGTAAATGTACAGTAAATATCAACTGTACTATTATTCAGGAAAATGAGAAATTTGTATAGAAATTTGGATTGTTATATTAATTGGCATTTTTTCCTAATCATTGTTTTTTCCTTCTTCATCATTTCATGTTCATTTTATAATTTTGTCAAGATCAAACATAATACACTCATATAATTACAATTTGAGTCTCATAAACCTACTCTAAAAGAAATAAAATTAGGCCTGAGAGGATATTTATCTCTATACTTACATTATTTGTAGTGGTAGTTTCCTGTTTTCAGTACTTAAAGGGACTCCTTTGTAATTGAAAGTCTTAAATCGTAAAGATTGAATGTCAAAGAATAATTTCAGTCTAAATTCTTTACATATAATCTTTAGTATAGCCTGTTTTATTTTGTAATAAATGGGTACATATGATTGTTTTCTAAAAGAGAAGGCAAAAATCACCAGCTGTATTGCCTATTTTATTAATCCAACAAGATATATGTTTGATTATATCTCATAAAATGGCTCTTCTTTCTTTAAGATCCCCTTGGAAAGGACTTCCAGAGCTGACCAACGAGAATGGCCAATACTGTCCTTTCAGCTGTGAAACACAAGCCTGGTCAATTGCTGCTGTTCTTGAAACACTCTATGACTTATAGTTGACTTATGCATATTTCTTAAGTATGCAATCAGTTGTATTGTTGAATGCAGTCATAATGTAATGTAAATGCTTTATGTGCACATGCTCAAGTCATTTTTTAAATCTCATTCATATAATATTGATGCCCTGATAGGTAAGACTATAAAGCATTGGTTTTGCTAATGTAGTTTTTGATTTGAGTAAGAAAAAAATTATCACTGCCAATGGAATGTTTGTCTTTTGAATTCAATAAGTATTCTGCAAATGTCTAGAAATAAATAATTTGAAAGCCAGAGTTTGAAAAAGAAAAATCATGTAATATTCTTTTTGTACATAAGTGAAATGAAATATGAGAATGTAATAATGAAAGAAATGGAAAAGTATCTTCAAATGGTGGTATATATTTTCTTTAGTAACAGTATATACTGAATAAGCTGTGGTTAATTAACCTCCTCAACCTTTTACTAGTAGTATTTCTAGCACCTTCCAAATTGCATTCAGGAGATACTAAATGAATATGGAATGATGGAAATGTCCACCTACAATATATGTTTGTAAGTGAAGCACAGATGTTTATAATGTGCTTTTATTTTTTTCACTCATAGTGTAATATGTTTTTAATACAATGAATTTCAACAGTATATTTAACATATATTTAATTGTGCTAATGATGCATAGGCTATTAGAAAAAATCACAAAGTATTAGAAATCTATTTTCTAAGAAAAATTTTATAAAATTAGTCTTGTGTTCCATTTTCCTACTTTGAGATGGTTCACATTTTCGTAATGCAAACCTTCAGACATATTTATGAGAACTTTAAAGAAAAAGGTACTATATTAATTTTCTAAAAATAACTAGTTTTAGTTTGTGTATAAAAGTGTATTATATTGGTTTCCTGTTAACTGAAAACTGTTGACAAGTTTAGCATGGAGAACAAGCTTAAAATAGAGAGATGAATTCAGCAGTTATCTTGAATCCAATAAAATCACTTGAATAGTTTTTCATGTTATTTTAAGATAGCTTAAATCTGGAAAAGTCATAAAAGGAAAAAGACTTTTAACATTTGTATGATTTGACATTTTTAATAGTACTTATTTTCTAGATGATTTTTTTTAAGACTATCTCTTTTTGTCTCAAGAAGGCACAATTAGATCATTATACTTTAAGCTGAAAGAAAATGGTTGCAAAAATCCATTTCATTATTCAGTTGTAACATTTATAGTTAAAATAGTGGTATGATAACACTTTTCTCACCTAGAAGTCATATGCCCAACTCCCTTAACTATGAAGAAGGAGTGAAAATAGGGGAAAACAAGTAAGCTAAAACTTCTGGGCAGTAAAAATATAAAAATGTTTCAGATGCCAAATACCCATGCTCAACCCTACTTTAGTGTTACCTAGCTTGGTTTTCTGGTTTCCCAACCTAAAGCAGATTGACTTCTACAGAAGGACGCATTGATTTCCAAGTTTTCCTTCCTTCTTCATTGCTCAGTGTCTGGCCTTCTCTAATCTGTGCAGTAGAGGGAGAACCGTTAGTTATCAAAGACTCACATAGTTCTGTTGCAATTAAACTTCTGTGTTAAAAGTGGTAAGAAAAGTAACTAAAGACCAACATTAAATCTGCTTTAAAAAAAAGCAAGAAGCAATGACTGGCTGATGGTTAAATGTGATAAATAAATAAGTAAATGAGTAAATTAATCCTAATAAATAAATAATAACAAGCTGACAATTTTAAAAACATAGCCATATTGGGTTATCTATGGTAGGGCAAATATCCACCTCACCAGTACATTTTTAGGATATCGTATTACACTAGAAAATTAAGCAATTCATATTTTTATTAGGAATATTAATGAAAACATTATTATAATCTGCATGGCCTATTTTAAAGCTTAAGAAGCATGTTACACATTATTTTATCAAAGATTGTTAATATTAATAGCTTTAGACTTTAGAGGGATAAATGTTGTTTGACTAAAAAACATTTAAATAGAATACTTCATTCCTGTGTGGTGTTGAATGAGGTACCATTATATCACATATTGAGAATGGTTCTGTGCCCTGATTCTTAATTAATTCAGATCAGTCTTACTCTTTTACTTGAGAAGTTTGCCAGTTTAACCAGTATGCTGTGATAATTTAATACGTTTCACAGATAACTGAGGAAACATGAGACCTGTCATCCTGTCTATGAACGATATGTAATGCATTTCTGATATGTCTTCACCTGCTCTGTCTAGTAGGCAAATGTCATTTTTATGTCTGTGCCAAGAAAATAAAAATCTTTTCTAAAGGACTGTATTTTGCATTTATTCCATTATTTAGCAGTTAACTAATTTGTTGATGCTTACTACTACCATTTATTCAGGACTTGTCAGGACTTGCTTGTTTGGGGTGCTTTATCTTTTTGCAGTATGTGTGGAAACAAAGACAGAAGGAAGAATTTTAGGCTGTTTGGTAATTTATTTAATTAGCCATGTTGAAATTAGGAGCAGAGTTAACTTTTGATGTATAAATTGACCTATGTTGAATATGTTAGCACCTATACATACTCCAGGTATTTCCTGGAATCTTGCGCTACTGTGAATTTTTTTACCTTTCATGAGTATGAGTGAATTGGTCAAACTTGCCACACTATAAAAATCTTCAATGCACCAAAATAATAAACTCATGTTTAAGTTGCTAGTTCAGAGGTGGTTTTTCCATTTGTGTAAGACTTGCACTATTAAATAATACTGATACTTTGTCATTTGGGCAGTTTTTTCCAAATATAAATTTCTTAGCATATCTGGTATTGGGTTTGTCAGCTGCAAATTGGCACTTAGCAAGAGCATTGCCAATCACAAGGCATCTGCCATCTGCCTCTATAGCTGGTGACCTGCAGCAACCCCTGAGGGAGGTCAGGGTGGAGAGGGGCACTCTGCTCCAGGGAATCCGGTGGGACAGGTCTTTAGTTGGATGTTTTTAGGAACAGATTTTATGATCTCAATCCTCGCATCTCCTCATATCTAGAGAAGCACTAAATCCCTTCATGGTGACATCAGACCCTCATGACTAACAAAAACCTTTTGTAAATTGAGTGCTTCATGGTATTGAACTCCCCCTTCACCAAAACCTTATACATTGACTTTCCCCCACTGCTGCTTTTTAGCATCTCTCAGAGCTATCTGAGATGCTGCCTCCCGGGCTGCAGTCCTCATTTTGCCCCAAATAAAACTTGGACTCTGTGGGAGAGGGCGAGGGCGGGATGCTATGGGAGAATGGCATTGAAACATGTAAATTATCATATGTGAAACAAATCACCAGTCCAGGTTCAATGCATGAGACAGGGTGCTCGGGGCTGGTGCACTGGGATGGGGAGGGAGGTGGGAGGGGGGTTCAGGATGAGGAACACATGTACACACATGGCAGATTCAAGTCAATACAGTGTTGTAAAATTAATTAATTAATTTTAAAAAAAAGAATAGCAGCTGCTTTTCAATTCTGAGAATCCCTTACTCTTCCTTACATCCAGGAAATTAGTTGGTTATTTTAAAAAGCTAATTTAAATCTATTTTGGGGACAAAAGGTGTCAAATATTCAGTAAAAATTCAGCTATTATGTCTCTGACCAGTTTTATTCATAAGTTATTATTTCTTTTTTTCATTTAATTTTATTATTTTATTTTTTCCCAAAGTGTAAATTTTTTATTATTGGGATGTAGCCAGTTGACAAAGTTGTGGTAGTTTCTGGTGAACAGCAAAGGGACTCAGCCATACTTATATGTTTATCCATTCTCTCCTAAACCCCCCACCCAGTCAATGTTAAAAAAAGAATGTACAATACATTTGATTATAGAAAATAGTTCTCATTAAATAAGGCCTAATAAAGGAATTGAATACAAAAAAAAAAAACCTCAAGTTGTACATCTTTTTTAGTCGACAGGTTAGAGGTTTTTTGTTTAACTTACAGAAACGTTCATTTTTATTTAATTAGCTATTTTAGTGTTTTTATCTTTGTGAACTCTTCTGTCTCTTCAAAATGTAACTGAAATTTTAATCAAAAAAATTTAATCAATTCAATAATAAACTTTTATTTCTGTGTTATATTCTGGTTTTATATTTATATATTTATAGCAGCATACAGTATGAGGTGCACCTTTAAAGAAGAATAAGTAAATGAACAACCATGAGCTCAACATAGAATTAAAAAACTGAAACAAATTTTCTGTCCCCAGTTTAAACAATGCTGAGACCAAGCAAAGACAAAATAGCTGTATTCCAGGAGCTCTGCTCTAGAAAAGTAAGATGGCAAAACCACTAAAACAGCCTGCTCTTCAGGATTTCTCAGTGACAACTGCAGCAAAAGTTGCTTCACAGGTCCTTGGGAATGTGGCAAATTTTACACTGAAAACTGGGAGCCAAACACCTTCCAAATCTATCAAATCATCTGACAGGCCTGTGAGAGCCACAGCATCAAACTCAGGATGACTACTCAAGCTACTGTCTTAACAGAAATAAGCAGGATGGTGGAAAGGCTACATGTTGTGTGTTAGAGAATGCTCCCCAGTTTAACATGATCTTTGAAATTAGAAAACTTGTTCTTAGGTGCTACATTTTATTGAAATTTAACTTGAAAATGCATTTACCACGTGGTTGTCATAACCCCCTTTCTATCCAGTCAAGTAGTTCAAGAATGTTTCGTATAATCTGTTTTAAAGGGTTTCCCAGGTGGCTCAGTGGTAAAGAATCCGATTGCAGTGCAGGAGATGTGGGTTCAGTCCCTGGGTGGGGAAGATCCCCCCAGAGAAGGACAGGCAACCCACTCCAGTATCCTTACCTGGAGAATCCCGTGGCTCCAGGAGCATGGTGGGCTACAGTCCATGAGGCTGCAAAGAGTTGGACATGACTGAGCACAGCGCTGTTTTAAAACTTGGATGCCAGGTTTTTCTCTCTTCCCCTTTTTCTTCCAGTTTTATTTTTATCACTGACTCTTTTTGTCTTTTATAATCCTGTTGAAATGTGTTTATATGTGTTTGT